TCTTACATGTTTTAGAAAATGCTTACGTGTTACTTAACATAGGCCACAAATAACTGTCCAGTCGACTACAGAGTCAACAAGACTTCTCCGAATCGGTATCTGGCCCAGATCCCGTGCCCGTGAACGAACATGATCACCTGTGACTCAGAATTTCAAACTGATCATTTGGTTCGCTCTGCCCTTTCTTTCCACTCCGTGCCTCTGCCTGTGACCTTGTCTGTCATTTCAAAAGCCCATTGCCCTGGTTGGCCTCTAAAGGTGGATCTAGTTTGTCTTCAGCGTGATCAGAAATCGATTATCCAGAAAGTTTTCCCCCGAACAAAGAGAAAAGTCCCTGTTCTTTGTGCTAACAAACGAGCACGGCGAAAATGCACACGGCGCCGTACAATGCACGGTGAGTGGCGAGGTGCGGGCAACGCACTGAAAGGACATGTCAGCGGGGCCTCAGAAACACCACGCCAGCGAGGAGGCTCGTTCCTGCATCCTGATTATGCGATTTTCCCATCGTGCCTAGGCACCCCTTTGATTTCAGCACATCAGACATCAAGCTGCAGATCTAGGGAAAGGGCATCGCTTTAAAATCACGGAGAAATTCAAAGGTGCGCCTGATTGTTCGGAGGTCTGCCCTCGAAAGGATGCATCCGCTTTCCATCCCAACTCCGCCGCTGACGGGGACAGGGGGCAAACCCACTCTGCAATCTCTAGCGAGACGTGTGTATCTCCAGGACATGGAAGGGACACTCTCGTTGGTGGGCTCCATCTGCTGCTTTTCATTGGGAAACAAAATTCATCACAGTGGAACCCAGTTTTACCCAGAAATTTATATCACCATTTGCCCGTGTTAGAAAATGCGGAGAGAAAAACTGCCTTTTTCTAAGAAATCACTTGCACTGCGAGAGTGAAAATGGAGCGTTGGCAGGCAGCCTGGCGGGGGGGGGGGGGTGCATCTGCTTCCACGATGCATTCTCCATGAGAGCATTTAAATCCACACAGCGCAGAAAGGGCCCCATTATGGCTCTCGCTCGGGATGAATCGCTAATATATATACAAATTAAGGGGAAGGGAAAATCACTCCTTTATCCTCTGTTTTGTTGAGTCTGTAAGCATTTTTATCTATTTCCTCAGATCAGCTTCGGCTACTCAGGCAAACTCTTAACCAATTTGAAAAACGTCTCAAAGTCATCCTGCGAGTGTTTCATTATCGTGCGAACATTTCAGCAAATGGAGTTTGCTTTCGAACAGTAAAGCAGATGACAGGAATGTCTTTATTTTGCACTTGGAAGCTTAAGTTGTTCTTTATGGTGCTCCATTTAAAAAAAAATGCTTTCTGAAGGCCAAGTCAGAACTGCTGGTTTGCCTTGAAGACTTTCGAAAAGAGCATAATTTTAAAGTTGTGCCACCCAGCGAGACCCACATAACATTCAGGGATAAACAAATACAGACAGATGATACATTCTACACCCATATATATATATATATACATACACTACAATCCATATATACACACTACATATACTTTCCCTCTCACCTACGTAAAGAGAAGTCCACGCTTCACAAGAATAAATCATTCTTGAGTGTCACCCTATAGCTTGTGGCCATTTATTGTCACTGATTAAGACCTTGCTAGCTAAGAAATCATCCCCAAACTTGACTGACTTAAAATAAGAACTGTGCTACCGTTCATCGGGAGCCTGCAAACACTCTAACGCTGACCGAGCTCAGTGGGCAGCGCAGGCAGGCAGAACTTCAGTGACGTGAAGAAAAGGTTAAAACCGGCCACGCAGAAACACAGCTAGCCGCGGTCATGTGACCTCTGGGTGGCCCTCCTGGCTGGCTCTTCTTTGTCTCTTTCTGCTTCTCGTCATTTTCCGAGCGTCCTACACTGACTATAAGTTTATAATCAGAAAAAGCTAAAGAAGCTTTCTTACTCAGAATATACGTAATACAAACAAAAAAAAATATGCCATAAAAAAGAGGCTCAGCATGAAAGAAAAAAGCCAAAAAAAAAGTGCCCACAAAAATATCAGTACCGTTCTCTGGGCTGGTGGAACTGGAGGTAATTTTTTCCCTTGTCCTTTCCTACACTTGGCCAAGTTCCTTTGTCAGCATAATTATTTCCATAATATCTTTAGAAACTACTCTTCCACACGCGATGCGCATTAAATCCCGTCTCTCTCCCGAGCGGCCACATCAAGTGCGCGCCCCACCTGCAGGCTGGCTGTCCCCCAGGACACCGGGTCCCCACGGCGCGGTTAGGGAGGCTCCTTCCCCTCCCACGCGCGCCCCTGGAGCTGCCGCACAGGTGGGCGTCCTTGCTCCTCACGACCACCCCCAGGTCGCTGTTCTTCTCCTGCTTCCCCCAGCGCCAGCGCAGCTCCGCCCAGGCCCAGGCCAGGGACTCCCCACCCCCACCCCCACCCCGTCCGGATCACCGGTGGGACGCTTCTTGCTGCCTCCCCCCGCTCATTACTGAAGAGTTTGGCAAAGGACCTGTCTCTCCACCGCTGCCTTTCTCCTGACTCTGAATGTGAGTGTCCGCGTGGACGACGCACCCAACACCCGGCCTGTGGGCGGTGACCCATGGTGACCCATCCTGGATCCTCCCCTGGGCTCACGCTCCGACCTCCGACCTCAAAGCCCAGCGCAGGACCTGGGCCAAATCCCTCCACTCTGCACGTCTCCCAGAACTCCAACCCACTGACCCCGTCATGTTGGGTTTTTTGTTTGTTTGTTTTTTAGCATCTATTACTTCCTTTCATTTCCCACCACTCTAACCCCTGCCTTGCTACTTTGTCACTGCCGCCACTTACCCGACAAAACCCAAACCTGTTCAGTGCAACTCGCTCCACACCCTCCCCAGTAGCCGACCGAGACCCGAGAAAAACAGACAGGCCGCCAGCTGTTCTCACTTTGAACTCCGGACCACAGACCTCAAAGGGGGCCCGCGGCGCTGCCAGGTGAGCGCGCCGAATGCTTCACAGCAGAGCCTCCGCGCAGAGGAGTCCGGGGTGCCCCCCGCCCTCCCCCACCCCGGCCTGTTCCAGCCCGCAGCCGCCTGGACGGGGGCCTTCACGCCCCCCCCACCCCCCACGCCAACAGCACCGTCCGGGTCCCGCAGCGCCCGCTCCGTGGGAGGCCACAGGCAGCGTGGGCTTCTCTCTCCCACCCTCTCGGCCGCCGCCCTGGGGGCCGGGTCTGCCTGATAAACTCGTGTTGGAAATGATTTGTGCAGTTTGTGCTGTGCTACATTTCAGCCAAAAAGCTTTCTCCGTGAGTGCGTGTGTGTATACTTGCGGAATCACTAAATAAGAGTGGAACTAAGGAATCCTCTGTGGAATCAGAGAAAGTAATTCTCTGAGGTTGACAAAAATGTTAGTTCATTTTGATTCAGCTCTAAAATGCACCAGCTTTTGGCCTGGAAGAGTTAGGTGGGGGCTAGACAAGCCGGAAAACCGGCTGGCCCCCCCGGGGCGTGGAGAGAGGGGGAGACGGGCTATGCCGACCGGGAGGAAGGCGGTGCGTGGGTGCAGCGTCAGGGGCCCCACGAGGCCTGGGTGGCGAGAGGGACCTCGGGGTGAGCGCATGTCACCTGGGAGACGGAAGCCCCGGCAGAGCCCGCAGTCCAGACCATGCGCGTGCTTTCAGGGACCTGGAGGTGACCGACCCTGGCCGAGAGCAAGGACACGCCCACAAGGGCCAGAGGGCGACTGGGGAGGTGGGCGCGGACTGCGTGGAGCCCCGCTAAAGGGAGCAGACTTTACCCCGAGGGCGAGAAAGAGCCACAGAGGGATCTGCCGAGATGTCTTTCTGAGGACCCCGCTCCTCGTTAGACGGAGAAAGACGGCTTTGGCCCCAGCATGGAGAAGGGTCTGGGGGACACTTCCTCTTCCCGGCAACCAAGGGCAGGAGGGCTGGGGAACCCGGGCAGACAGAGCAAGGGAACGGCAAGATCCTTCCCTGAGAAGTGTGAGGAGCAGCTAACGCTCACGGTTCGAAACCCAACAGGCTAAGTGGTGAGCCGCAAGTACAGAGGTCCACTCGTCCGTCCGTCACCCACGATGAGGGACTATTTCCACGGACCGCGGGGCACGAAGCCGGACTCTCAGGAGGTGGAGTGAGACCCAGGGAGGTGAAGATCAGGCAGGCCCAGCTTTGTACAGGGCGTTTCAGAGCTGCCCCCAGCACAGAGGACTGAGAGAACGTTCACAATTAATCTCCATGTTTAGAAGGTGTATCCTGTCTTTAAGCAAAAACTTAAAAATCTGCTTTCATGACTAGTTATAAAGAATTAATTATGACTAGTTAGAATTCCATTATAATGTATTAAGTCTATTCTATCAAACTAAGCTATAAAAATCATCCTAGTCTGTCCACCAGAAGGTCCTGCCATCATTACAAAGAAATTTTTATTAACAGTACAACCATATGAATGAAGCAATCCCATTCAAGACATATCTCTATAAATAACTCGAGAGAGATAATAAAATAAATTTAAGAGATAATAACTGCACGCACGGGCACCCCAATAAGCAAGAGAGAGCTAAAAAAGCGAAAAGGCAGACCCTTCCCCAAGGACGCACCCCCCGGAGCGGGGGCCAGACGCAAGAGCACTTCCGACAGCGAGCGCTCTCCGCTCTGCCGGGGCTTCTGCAACGACGGTGCGCAGACCGGAGACAGCGCCACCAGGGACGCTGCCGTCCACGCATCCGGCAGTGAGTGCGGGAGGCAGACGGCAGAGAGAGACGACTCTGACCAGGGCGAACACATTTATGTTTCCGGGGCCCGCTCTGCGGACACGGTGCTGGACCACGAGAAGGACGGCTGACTACAGGCCCATCGGGCTGACCGCGGAGTGCCGGCAGGAAGCCCCACACCCCAGGCCGGGGAAACGAGAAGGGCTCTCTGCAGGAACCCGGGACGGGCCAGAGGAAGGCCAGCGCTGCCACGACTCGGAGGGACCGCCCCGCGTCCTCGCCGCCGCGGCCGCAGGCCCCACTTACCTGACGACGATGAGCACGGCGATCAGGATGGAGCAGATGGGGTCCGCTATCATCAGGCCGAAGTTCTGCATCAGGATGGCGGAGGCGATCACCCCGATGCTCCCCAGGGTGTCCGCCAGGATGTGCAGAAACACGCCTAGAAAGGGAGCACCCCCAGAGTCAGGGCAGCGTTGTCTGAGCCCCCGCAAGCCAAAAACGTTTCCTCAACCTATTCCTGATTCCCTCCATCGCAGGCAACCCACCGACGGAAAAACTGGTGAGAAAGGAGATTAACTGTTTAGTGACGAGGTATCAGTGCCTTGGGAGCTGAACTAATCTTTCCTGTTCCCATCATCAGGGGTTACTGTATCTGGTGCGGAATAATGCACATCAGGGAGTAGAGTAATGCATTCATCTCTGGTTAAAAGAGCTCAGAAGTTCTTTAATGACCTGCTAGAAGAAAACTTCACTAGGCGGAAAGAGTCTGTCAAGAGAACACGGCTCGTGACTACAAATGTTCAAATATGTCACTTTGACATATTTTCTAAAATGTAGTATCGTCAATACTACATAGTATGGGCCCGCAGAGCCCTCTGCTGGTGGTTCCAGTTACCACTTGAGATGAATTTCCTAGCGATCATAACTCTACTAAACCTTAACATTTTTATTAATTATCCTGAAGTTTTTGTCACCTGAAGTCACGGACTAAGCTCAGACCTGATGTAAAAGAAGGTAGAAACTTGAATACTTTAAACTGGATGTAAATAAATTTGAACTTTTAGAAATTGGATATTAAGTTGATAGGATACTGGTATTCTAACTGCCCAAGAACCTAGACTTAATATTAACATTTCAGAATTGACACTTGACAGGAAAAAATTTAAAAAGGTCAAGCAGTAAGTTTAATATACATTATATCTTAAAAATTTTAACTAGCCCTGGCTGGTGTAGCTCAGTGGATTGAGCACGAGCTGTGAACCAAAGTGTCGCAGGTTCAATTCCCAGTCAGGGCACATGCCTGGGTTGCAGGCCATGGCCCCCAGCAACCGCACATTGATGTTTCTCTCTCTTTCTCTTTCTCCCTCCCTTCCCTCTCTAAAAAAATAAATAAATAAAATCTTTAAAAAAATTTAACTACATAAATTATTCAACATTTAGATCTTCACTAGGTAAAATAAACACCATCTCAGAGACTACCCTCAACCAGACGTGGCTGAAAAGAGAACATTCTTCAACAGCAACAACTATTCTATCTGAAAAGAAATTCCTAACGTGTAAAAAGCATGTGGCTACTTTAGAAATACTTATTTTTCTCATTGATTATTAACCGAACACCAAATGAAATCACGGCCTCATTACCTGTGTCCTTTCTCACTTGTATTACCTTTGTCATCTCATGGCACACAGAAACTAACTCCTAAAACTCTGTGGCACACCAAAAAATACTTTTGCCAATCTGAAAAAAAAATAGGTAAAATTTTGATTGACAAAAAAATATAATAGCAGTTACCTACTGTTTTTGCTCCAAAGTGACTTTTTTAAAACATCATACTTTACATAAGGATTTCTGGGGCCAAGAATTAGCCAATCAGATACATTATGACGTAATGTGACCAATAAGGTGCAACTCTATGATATGACCCACATATCATGGTCCCAGATGGGGCTTCCACACTGGCTACTGTGTTGGCTGCTGTCATTTTTTTTCTGACAATCTCAGGGAAAAGAGGTCAGTGCCCCTGACTGCATGTTTTAAAAATTCTTGCAGCACATGGTTGAAAATCACTAGTATAGGGTATTAACCTTTATAACAATTTTGAAAAAAAAATTAGCAATTTCTCTATCACAAAAATATGTTAGAAGAACGCTTGTAAGAAAAAATATTTCATTTCTGTAAGGTACTTCAATAGCAAAGAATGAATAAGTGTTGGGATCACCCTAAGTTTTAAAATTCAGCTGGAGAACAATACACAGCAAAGTGGCCTGAGAGTCCCTAAGTTTCAAAACTCTCAAGTGATATGCGTGACTTTTAAATCTCTCTATTTTTTAATCAGTGTTTTGGTAGGATCAGAAATGAAAGTAGCTCTAAATGCCAGAAGGAGCTAGGAAAGAGCCATCTCTTCTTGATCTTCCTTTGGCTGGGAAGTCCCTGGCTCCCTCTCCCCGGCTGACCCGACCTCGGGTTTCATCAGCAGCTCGAGAGGCAGCAAAAGGCCGAGCCGGCCGGTCCGCTCGGTCTGCACGCGTGAGCACCCGCGAGGAGGGGGTTCGCGCCGGGCGCCACCCTGTCCTCCCGCCTTCCACTGGGCTGCACCCATCACCATCAACGGATGCACACTTAGAAAATGTAAACCTTTTTCACGACAGCTTGCATAAAAGATGACTAGGAGGGCAAATTTTGTGTCCCCTCAAACTGTGATGATTTCCAAACTAAAAATAACCCCCTATTTTCGAGGCCGATGCTTTGGATACAGAGGCACTGCATGTGCACGACTACAGGCCAGTTCCGCAAACGCCGCTCTCCAACGATTCTACGCGTTCTGCGGGTGGACAGCCGGAGAGACCAGGAGACACGGTCAGGCCCCTGACACGGCTCCCGGGCGGGCGGGGAGGAGCGCGCTCCCAGCGGGAGTGTTCAAAGGGGGGCAGTGTCGGGAAGCAGAGGAGACACCCGGGCGCGGCGGGGACCGGGCCGCACGCCACTGGAGAGTCCGGCAGGAGCCACAGTCTACGAAGGCAGGAGCAAGGCCGGCTGGGAGTCAGAAAACTTGACGTGAACTCTGAATGGGAATTCAGAGTCAGAGACCGGGCCGCGTCCCAAAGAGGAAACCACCGCAGGTCACAGACGAGACCGTAAAGGTCTGTAACGCGCTGTTTCACATGGCACGTCGGCTTCTGTTTTGGTGTCATTTTGGGTGGCTGTGCTGTAACGGAGGTCTCCTCACTGCATTAGTCTAAAACAACGTGGTCGACTCCAACTTGTAGGCTCCCAGCACGACTAAACGGGAGGACAGAGAGTCCCCGCGCAGCCTCCGCCCCCAAACAGGCACAACCTCCCCACTGCGCGCACTCCCCACCAGAGCGCGCGTGTGTCACAGCGGACGAGACAACGCCGACACGTCTCGTCACCCACAGCGCACACAGGGCTCCCTCCGGCGCTGCACACCCCTGGGTTCCGGTGCCTTCCATCGGCAGCACCAGATCTCCCCACGACCTCGACACGAACGGAGGACTGCTCTCGGGAAAATGATTGGACAACCCCGCACACTGCTACGGTGTCACTACGGTCACTGGGATGGTATGACTTACACCTAAGTGGTATGACTTACACCTAAGACAGCTTCTGAACATTTTATTCTTCTCATGAAATCGGAGAAAACAGCCAAGTGACACATTCAAGGAATGTCTGCTAATGCACCTAACAGTACAAATAAGGAAAATCACCAGGGAGGCTAGCATTGTAAACATAAACACTATGTTAAACATTTTTCTTAGAGGAAAGCTAGGAAGCCGGTTTCAGAAAAGTGAGAAATACACAAAGCTCTTGTCATACCTTGTAGAATCTGTCTGCTGGGTCCTGTGGTTTCTTTTAAGGAGGGGCCATCTGTCGAGAGTTAAGGTAGATTATTTTAAAACATGTCTTCAATTCCTGATTCAATTTTTGCAATTCAGAGTATTTTTCATTCAAATGTACAGCGAAGGATGCGTGACTATATAGCCACATCAGACCTACAAAATTATTTTTAAGACTTTATACAGTAATTGAATGGAAACAGACATGACAAATTTCAAAATGCATCAACAGTACAGAGTACAGTATTTAGGAAATTATCGCAGTGAGCAGTCTGGTAAGAAAAGAACACAGCACATTGGAAACATGGTGAAAGTCTTCTAATATTCGGAACATTCTGCATATAGTGTGCTATGCTAATTTTATAATTAGAAATGCACAAAACACAAAACTACTGGCGGAAGTTACAAGAAGTCGAAGGAATAGAGCCAGGACAACCTCGGGAAGACTGGACCGGGGCAAAGAGTAGTTTTCCAGGAGCTTCCAGACAGGTGTGCCCAGTTTCTCCCACGGGAGAGAGAAAAGCACCTTCACTTTGCCTTTATGACGAACAACGAAAAGACCCCACACTCTGTGTACCTAACGGCCTTGGAGACGAGCTCTCGGCTCCAACACGCAGCAGAAACCGTAACCAGGTAAGAGGCGAGCGCTGTTCACGCAGAGGGGGCATCAGGAGGGCCGACAAGCTCTCGGGTCCGACAGACAGCGGCACCCACGAGCTGGCCGCTCGCTGCAGCCCGGCAAGAGCGCGGTGACGTGCACAGTGGCTGACTGGACACTGCACTGTCGTGCGGGGACAAGACTGCGGCCGTCTGGGAACCCTGCCGGAGTGACCCACGCACCGGGTTTCTGTCTACAGGCACAGCAGGTCTAGACACAGACAGCCGTTTCTGACGCCATCGGTTTGAAAGGCACATTCATTCCGCTGTACTAACGTAATCCCTATATGAGACAGCACAACTCCCATCTATGCGAAATCTGACAGTCCTTCTGGACATAAAACATGTCACTTCTTGCAGAGCGTGGCTAGCTGCTCGCCAAACGCCACTGCCCTTCCTCGCTGGCAAACAACTAAACCACACGGCCGGGCACCAGGAGGTAGGAGCCCTGTGTGACTGCGGGGTGAGCAAAGGAATGAGAGGTGGAGAGCACTCCCAGGCTCTGAGGGTGTCCCCCACGATCTTCTGCTGCTCCCCCCGGGGTTCAGAATGCCCATCTGAGGAAAGAGCCTGGCTCCTTGAACGGCCGTGAGGAGCAGGGCCCCGCCCCGCCGGCCAGCACAGGACAGGAACCTTCGCCGTTCCAACCGCTGCGGGACGAGCAGCTGGAACCAGCCAGCAGCGGGGTGTGGCCCGCGGGGCAGCATTCCACGAACCGTGAAGCGCACAGGGCCCCGCAGAGAGACCACGGCGTCTCTTCGGGACAGAGTGGAACGGTGGCCCCATCACCGATGTGTCCTCAGCCGGCTAACGGAACCCCAAGGGCAGAGTGACCGTCAGGAGCGGATTTCGGAGTCGGACTCCTCGTCTCGGAAACCCAGCGTGTCTACTGACTAGCTGCCACGATGTCTCCTTGCCCTGTTGTCATGGTCACCTTTCTTCCCCACTCGCCATTTCCCTTCTGGACCAAAAAAAGGGGCTGCCTCTCGCCCACCTCAGATCTTACCACCGTGCTTTGCCCAGGGAACTAGAAAACTGTAGCGCGGCAAACGAGGGGTCCACTGCAACGTTGGTGGTAACGTCAGAAAAGCAAGGGCTCAGATGCCTGGCCAGCAAACCCTCTGCAAGCCACACGGTGCCCGAGTCCTGGCTTTAACGGAACGTGGGGGTTAGCTAATGAAGCTGACAGCTAATACATCAAAAATAGTTCTGGGTAACAGATCCCTGTGTAATCTCTGGAAGGTAATTCTGAAGGGGTTCAAAGAAGGGACTGAAAGGCCACCACACAATTTCCTCCTGTTTAAGGTTTCTTATACTCACATAATAAACACGGGGACAGAACTAATGCTAAAGCCTGTTATGTGCTAATGAGTATTAATTACCCATAAACTAACTGAGAAAAAAGAGCTCCAATCATCTCATTAAGATACATATTTCAAATAAAAGGCGGCTCTTTACGATCATACGTGATTCAGATTTGAAAAGAGAAATATTTTGATTGACTTTGTACGAGGAACAAAACTCCATCCGAAAGGAACGCTCAAATGCTACGTCCTGTGTTCCCAGGAAATGCAGACTTTTATTTCACATACTTATTTTATTGCCAAGAATAACAGATAATCAATTTAAAATGTAACACAAACATAACCCATTATTCTAAAATTCTATAAAGTGGAATGGCAATACAAGTTCAAGGAGAAGGAGGCTGTGAAGTCTGTAACTGTTTGCCGACGTGTGTCTCTGAGTGAGTGACAGTGAATCTCAGGTTACTACGGTATTTAGAGTCCCCCAAATATATTCAACAAAGCAATGGAGAAGTTTCATTATGAAACAGTACCTGTAATGTATCAGAAATTATATTCTTTGCGATTATTTAAATAAATTTTTTTTTTAGAAATCTTTAAAAACAGGTAAAAGGGAGTTTTTCAAAATTACTTTGGGGTACACGTGAGCAAAAAACTTAGAAAAGCCAGGTTTTAACGCATATCAGAGCAGGACTTACAAAACTACAGCAAATTTCAGAGACGGGAAGGTTAACACTCACATTCCAAGGCCCCTTTCCTGTTTCCACATCTACAGCTCAGGGCTCTGTCGGCACGGCGAGTCCACTGAATGTTTACGCACATCATTTATTTAAAGATTAATCAAATTGTACCCCTTAAGCAGACCTGGCAATTTGCACTTGAAGATTTCACAAATAAACTATTTAAAATAGAATGTTTAAATAAAATATTAATTAAGTTGCTAACTGCCTCGTAACTTAGCACCCAAGGCCATGTAGGTCAGCATTTAAAGATTCCTAGGGTCATACTGAGGCAAATATCTACCAAAACTACAACGAAAATGTGAACAACGGAAAACTCCTACCGTATTTTTGTAAGCCTATGTATAGCACAAAAGGCCTCATCATCCTTCACCAAAGCTGCATCCACCGCCTACCCAAGCTAACGACATCCAATACTGAACCTGGACTCGCCCGGGCCACAGAGTCCGATTCAGGAGAAAGGAAGTCAATCACGGCCCTTGCCGACAGACACCGCCCACTGGGAAAAGGCCCGAGCCGCACTCTGCCGAGTGGCAGGCGTCGGCTGCACTCACCGTGGGAGTGGAAGTGCCCGTGGCTGTGCCCGTGGCCGTGCGCAGCCCCATGTTTCAGTTCGTGGCTGTGGCAGTGGTCTCCCCGGCCGTGGGCCTGGTCCAGAGAGCCATTAAAGAGGGAATGGCTGTGTCCGTGGCCTAAAGACAGTTCGGAGCAGAAGGAACGCGGAGACATGTTATTTCATGGTTGCAGCAATGCTGGTCTCAGCAAACTGAGTCAGCTCTAAAACCAGAGTCCATTCAATGAACATGGGCTGGTAAAAAGTGTTAGTGCACATTAAAATAACACTGAGCTCCTACTACACAGCACAGGAAGGACATAAAAGCAGAGATTGACAAGCTAATCCTAAAATCGACATGGAGATGCAGGAAAGGAGCCAGAATAGCCAAAACAACCTTTAAAAGAAAAGAGTAAAGAGGAAAATCCACAGATTGCGATTTCAAAGCCTACCCCAGAGTTACACTATCCAAGACAGAATGGTGCTGGCGTGTGGACAGACACACAGACCAGCGAGACAGAGCTGGGAGTCCAGAACGAACTCCCACGCTCACGGCCGACACGACTGCTGACGAGGGCAGCCAGACAGTTCCCGGGAAAAGCCGTCTCTTCTACAAATGGCGCTGAGGCTGCTGGGCATCCCCGGGTGTAAGAAATCACCAGGCCCTGCCCTCACGCCGCACAGCAACACTGACTTACATGAGAACACTGTAACCCCCAAGCTGAAGGGTGGGCCCTCGAGAGGAGCTCTAGCCGTGGAACCACTAACTTTAAATCAGCTAGGGGAGGAAACGACGCACTTCGGCAGGTTCGGGAACCCCCCTCCGGCGGGCGGAGCCGTCCCATCAGGCACCAGACCCGGCAGGGAGGCCTGAGCCGCCCTCCCCACGCGAGCCCACGCGAGCCACGGCGCTCGGCCGTGGCTGCAGAGCCCAGTCGGTGGACAGGAGGCTCAGCACGCGCTGGGTCCCTCCCTGCGGGGGTCCCGATGGGTGCGCACGCCCTGCGGTCCAACCCGGCACCGCTGAAGGCGGCCCAGGTGTGCATCCTCGCTGACGCCAGGACACAGGCTGCAACTACGGCCGCACAACTCGGTGCTCGGGCCCTGGCTGTGCGGGGAGACGGGCGGGAACCCCGGGCGTGACGTGCTTAATGAACACTTTCAACTACCTAAAAACGAACTGAAGGGAAACTGTAAAGACCTTTCTTAAAAATGTCTGAGACAATTTAACAAAAGCCATGAAATTTAGTATGAGTTGTGCCAGTTTTTCGCAGTTAGCCATAAAGACAGTGAATTTCCGGTCAAAACCCCAACAAGATTTTTTGTAAAACTGGACAAGCTGATGAAAAAAACAAATAAGCGAGATAGGCCCCGACAGGTGGGACCCGCCTTCCCAGGCATTAACACGTGGAGAGGACCCGTGGCGAGGACCTGTGGAGAAGACACGTGGAGAGGGCACGTGGAGAAGACCCGTGGAGAAGGCACGTGGCAAGGGCACATGGAGAGGACCCGTGGAGAAGACACGTGGAGAGGAACCGTGGAGAAGGCACGTGGAGAGGGCACGTGGAGAAGACCCGTGGAGAAGGCACGTGGCAGAGGGCACGTGGAGAGGACCCGTGAGAAGACACGTGGAGAGGAACCCGTGGAGAGGGCACGTGGAGAAGACCCGTGGAGAAGGCACGTGGAGAAGACACGTGGCGAGGAACCGAGAAGGCACGTGGCGAGGGCACGTGGCGAAGGCACGTGGAGAAGGCACATGGAGAGGACCCGTAGAGAGGACCCGTGGAGAAGGCCCGTGGAGAGCACCCGTGGAGAAGACACGTGGAGAGGAACCGTGGAGAAGGCACGTGGAGAGGGCACGTGGAGAAGACCCGTGGAGAAGGCACGTGGCAAGGGCACGTGGAGAGGACCCGTGGAGAAGACACGTGGAGAGGAACCGTGGAGAAGGCACGTGGAGAGGAACCGTGGAGAAGGCACGTGGAGAAGACACGTGGCGAGGAACCGAGAAGGCATGTGGCGAGGGCACGTGGAGAAGGCACGTGGAGAAGGCACGTGGAGAAGGCCCGTGGAGAGCACCCGTGGAGAAGGCCCGTGGAGAGCACCCGTGGAGAAGACACGTGGAGAGGAACCGTGGAGAAGGCACGTGGCGAGGGCACGTGGCGAGGGCACGTGGCGAGGGCACGTGGAGAGGACCCGTGGAAAGCACCCGTGGAGAAGACCCGTGGAGAAGACACGTGGAGAGGAACCGTGGAGAAGGCACGTGGTGAGGGCATGTGGCGAGGGCACGTGGAGAAGGCACGTGGAGAGGGCCCGTGGAGAGGGCCCATGGAGAGGACAGCCACGAGCCCGGTGTGTTGGAAGGACAGCCGAGGATGGACAGACTAGCCCTGCGACACGAGGCCGTGTGATCCTGGGCAAAAGTGTCCTTTTACACCAGGTGGGGGAGGGGCAGATTAATAAAGGGTTCCTGGAAAACCACTTATTCACACGGAGGGAAAAAAGTGAGGTCCTTACTCACTCTGTCACAAAAATAAATTACACTCAGACGAAGAACCAAAGTGGATGGGGAAAAACACAGACCCAAAACCGTCACTATTGAATGATAAGAGAGCAGGGTTATGACCAAGCAGTAGACACCTCCTGTAAGGAGAAGGCATTCCTGAAAAAAATGCACAACAGAAATCTAGACTACATCCAAGTTAAAAACCCACATATAAAAGTTTAAAGACAAGCCGAAGATTGGGAAAGATGCTTGCAACACATAAAACAAAGGACTAGCATATAACATATATTAAATGTTTTTAAAAATGCTTATAAGTAGATTAACAATAATAGAAAAACAAGCCAAAAAATTAACAGGTGACTCTAGAGTAGGGAGATGCCAAATAAAGTGGTAACATTTTATCAGTATTAGCAAAATGGTCTTAAACCTGTAATATGAAGTTCTGATGCGGGCGAGAGGACCTAGCACGCGCAATCACTGCCGGGGCGTGAGTGAGTGACAGCCACTGCAGACAGCGACCTGCTGGAGTCTGCTGACACTCCACACTGCGCGTCCCCTGTCCCGGCAATTCTGCTTAGACGGGTGATCCTGCACAGGGCAGTTCAGAGCGTTTTCTCCGTGACGGAAATGTCCCGTGCCCTCTGTCCGGTGCCGTTGCCCTGTGTGGCTAACGAGCCCCCGAAACGCCATCAGTGTGACCGAGGAACCGCATCTGCAGTTAACTGTGCCGTGAGTTTAAACCGCCCCCTGTGACTAGGGGCTGCCGTGCAGGACAGTGCGGCTCTGGGAACACCGCCCCCCGCCGCCGGGTTTGTCCACCGGGCGTGGGGCTGCGATCGCCTGGAGCCGACCGGCGTCCACTCACAGACGACCGGTTAGACAACCCAGGGGTGTGTGTGTGTCTGCTAATGGGAGGGGGACGGAGCGAGGAGCCGGGCGAAGGACCTCGAGAACACAGCGCCCACACACACCGTCATTTGCTAGGACTAGGTGTGTTTTGTGGTTTTGGTGGTTACGTGCTGGTTTTACGTGAACAGTGTCATAGTCAACAGGTGAGCTCCAGAGTTCTGGAAGGATCCACACCCGAATGGTAACGTGTGCAGCTGAGAGGGTGCGGGGGTGGCGGGGGGGTGCAGAGAGAAGCAGAAGGGACGGTACAGGAAGGCACTAACACGAGTCTATCACCATCAGCAGTTTTGTGGTTGAAAATCAACAGTGTAACTTTATGAGTCATCAGTTTTCAAAAGGGAGTAACTAGGCCAGACACCCGACAGTGAGGAAGCGAAGGGCTCTGACCGTCCTACCGGAGCCGTGAGAATGCCCGTGACCTCCGTGCTGGAAGACGAAGATTCCCACCAGGTTCACCACAAACCCCAGGATGGACACCAGCAGCAGCCTCTCGTGGTGCACGTCGGGCGGGGCCAGCGCGCGCTGGAAAACACGCAACACAGACCACGGTGACGTAACCTCGGACTGCTTGGCCGGCAACGTCCCAACATTTTCTGCCACATTCCCAGTTAAAATCCCTCCAAAAACAGGACAGTATACAGAACTAAAACCTGCCCCCACATACTGTAGAGAAGGTAGCGATAACTAGTGTTAAATAAATACAAATATTTAAAAGCACGAGTATCTGCTCTGAACCCATCCTTCTTTGGTTTCTTCAACTACTGTCATTCGTTTCAAGTCCCTCCATCTGTACATGCTCTCTCCGACACGCCGAGCAGTGAGGGTGCGCGGGCAGGACTCGCGCAGCCTGCGTGAAGAGCTCCCAGCGGGCCTCACTGCCGGAACTGCGTCTTCGCTTTCATTCATACAGTCGACACTTCGTTCACGTTTGTTTCCAGTTTCGGGTGCTCACACGCCTACTCCACGTCTAACTGTTCTGTAAGCTCCTCCCGTGCACGCGGCACGCTTTAGCTAAGCCACGGCTGCCCTCCATACTCAACGGCCGCGTGAACGCGAGGGGGACCACGCATGTCGCGAGCACACAGACATTTTCATCACAGACATGTAATGCACTGACTCCCACCATTGTCTACTATACCTCAACTCCTTCTGAGAAAATAAAAAAAGCAGTGAAGATCAAAAAAAGCCCATTGACAAAGCCAGCCAGAACTTCCGCTCTGACATACCTAGAGGAGAGCAAAGTAAACTGAATTATTATTTCTTGCAAATCAAATAGTCAACTTAACGTATGTCAACGATTCTAAATCACCTTATAGGGTTTTAAGTGGCCAGCACAGTCCCAGGATTTAGAGTATAGCATGTTTTATTGTACATACATTCTAAAAACAAAGGAACTTAACTATTGTGAATGTGTTTAATAGCAGAATGCCATAAAATATAGATCTCTAAACACCAAAAAGAAAAAAAAAAAAAGACCGGCCTAAAGTAGGCTTAAAAAGACCTTCCCTGGAGATGTGAATCTCAGGCTGCCACTGGAGAAGCGAGCACAGGGCCAGAGAAAAGGGCAAAGAAGGACCCAAAGACAAAAGGTAGGAGAGAAAAGCTTGAAAAGGGGGTTTTGTGACTCATTAATTCCTCCTTTGGAAGGACGCCTGTGCTGCCTGCTCTGTACTTTCCACAGTGGAGATTTGCGCTGAGGGAGAGCGCAGTTACTGCTGAAGTATCCCAGAAACTTGGGACTTGTAGCTCTATCAGTCCTTTTCCAAGATGAATAAATGTAGCAAAACCTCCTACCTATTTTTAGAACCAATTTTAGCTTCCCATGATGCTAATTAAACTATTTTTTAAAAATACCTGCCTTTTTCTCCGTGGACTTCTGAAGCTCTCCGCTTCCCCGCCCCCCGCCGTGGGAGGCGCTGGGGAGAGCTTTTGTTTCTCCATAAGCTATCTCTGGCTTAGCCCAAGTCATCAGAAACAACTTGAACTTGGCAGCTTTACTTGTTCAAACAGTGTTCAAAGGGCGCTCACAGCAGTTAATCACCCTGGTCCTTCAAGAATATAATAGGAACATCAAATGTACTGCTTTTTCTCACTGGGCTAACCTCTAGAAAATACAATTTTTCCTGTAAAAACTTTCGTAAAGGAAGGAATGCAAGCTCTTTATAATGTCCTCTGTCCAGTTATGTTGGAACTTACCCCGTGCAGTGCATTCCAACACAGCACGTATCTCTACACTCACAAGTAACGCATATTTCTGCCCTCTAACACATATAAATAAATGAAATGACCTATTACCTGAAAAGCATGTACTTTTTCTGGAGAAAAAGTTCATCAGATTTAAAGCATGGACAGCCTGCTCTCCGGAGCCCGCACTCAGTAACGTCTCGACGACACACACACTTCCTCTTCCCCACCCTCACGTCCCCCAGGGGTGCCTGACCCTCACGTCCCCCAGGGGTGCCTGACCCTCACGTCCCACAGGGGTGCCTGACCCTCATGTCCCACAGGAGTGCCTGACCCTCGAGTCCCACAGGGGTGCTTGACTGCGGGCCCTGCGTCCTGAGCTTCCACCAGGTTTCAAGGTCAAAGGCAGGAATGTTTCCCAGGCATCTTTTGGTGCCTAGCTTAGTAGGTGCTCCGCAAATTCTGACAAACTGATGGACTACAGTGACGTACTTCAGTTTAACACACCTGCTGAACTCAGTTGCAGGGTGAGACGAAAACCTGTGGGAAGCAGGCACGCTTGCCTTCACAGATGGCTGTGTTTACGGTCCCAGAGCGAGTCTAAGAATCAAACCTCGTGGCCCCTAAATGTGCCACGGGCTAGTTACGATTGCATCTGAATTCTTCTGCCAGGACAAAAAAGGAAGCAAGCCTACGTTCAGACGTACAGAAGCACAGACATATGATTCGTGTCTCCCTACCTGCTGGGCGTGCTACTTTCATGCCGGCTTTGCTCTTTCAAAGACACGCAAAGGTGACTTTATGCACAGCAATACCGGAAAGTCTTGGCTGCCTCTCGGCCCCTCCCGTCATGTTTTCCGTGCAGCGACTCTGCCGCAGCGATCACACCGAATCGGGGCTCTGGGGCTGGTCCCCAGGCTTTGCCCGCTCGGTGTCACACTGAGGTGCCGGCACCTGCATTTCACTCCTGCTGCCACTGAACTATCACGGCAGTTACTGAGAGTTTCCAAATGCTACATCGGGTTTCACTCCCTAATTGTTTCCCTCTCCAAGAAATTCTTTAAAAAGGCAAATCGGAGAAGACAGGACAAGAAGGAAAAGGTGGCGGGAACATTTCTCTCTTCTACCCACTGGTTCAAGCTCAACGGCACAGCCTGCCCTGGGGCTGCCCGTGCTCAAAGCCCGTCGTGAGAACCCCCGCACAGCGACAGACTGTGCGCTCCGAACGGGGAGCAACAGACGCCCCAAGAAGGAAGGGACCGGGGGAACCTTTACAGCCACCTACTGTTCATCCAGAAAGATTACTGCATAAGATGGTCTCCCTGGGTTTTCGATATGCAGTATTTATGAAATGCTCATTTTCCAATACAAAATTGTAGCTTTACACACAATCTCTCTTCAATAATCCAAAATATACTTAAGAGTCTTTTGATGCTACGGTGCCGTGGAAAACGTTCTTTTCCGAGCACTCGGTCTCTTTCGAGCTGCGGGCAGGTGGGGCCCCTCGCTCTGGACCGACACGACAGCGCGGTGGGTGTCTGTGCCTCACTTCCCGCGCGAGCCCCGCCGCCGCGGCCGCACGGCAGACCGGCGAGGGCCGGCCCAGACTCCCGCCCGCGCCTCTCTGCACCTGTCCCCACGTGCAGCCGCCTTCACGGCGCCGCTCCCCCAGCAGACCACGAGCCCCCGAGGCAGACGCCCCGTCTTCCTCATCTCTGCACCCCTGGACTAGCGATGCTGCGGGCCCCCAAGCCTCTGGAGACACCGGAGCACGTGCATGCGAGGGACAGCGAGCGCTTGCTCCGGAGCAGAAGCAAAGCTGGACGGGAGGAGGGGGCGAGGGAGGTGCAGGGAGGAGGGTGGACGGAGGGAAGGGGTAAGAGTAGAGAAATGGAGACACTGCCCCGAGTGGGGGCCACCAGGGGAGGACCAGGGGTCACCAGGGGAGGACCAGGGGGGCCACCCGGGGAGGAGTGGGGGTCACCCGGGGAGGAGTGGGGGGCCACCCGGGGAGGAGTGGGGGGCCACCAGGGAAGGAGTGGGGGGCCACCAGGGAAGGACCGGGGGCCACCAGGGGAGGACCGGGGGCCACCCAGGGGAGGACCGGGGGGCCACCAGGGGAGGAGTGGGGGGCCACCCGGGGAGGAGTGGGGGGCCACCCGGGGAGGAGTGGGGGGCCACCAGGGGAAGGACCGGGGGTCACCCGGGGAGGAGTGGGGGGTCACCAGGGGAGGAGTGGGGGCCACCAGGGGAGGACCAGTGGTCACCCGGGGAGCAGTGGGGGGTCACCCGGGGAGGACCGGGGGTCACCAGGGGAGGACCGGGGGCCACGAGGGGAGGAGTGGGGGCCACCAGGGGAGGAGTGGGGGCCACGAGGGGAGGAGTGGGGGTCACCAGGGGAGAAGTGGGGGTCACCCGGGGAGGAGTGGGGGGTCACCAGGGGAGGACCAGGGGCCACCCGGGGAGGAGTGGGGGGCCACGAGGGGAGGCCTGAGAGCAAAAGCCAGAGCCAAAGGGCTGGAGGGGCGGCTGAGGAAGGGGAAGGAACAGGCGCGTGAGAAAGAGCTGAGAGACAGAGCCTGGGGCGGGGGCAGAGAAGAGGAAGAGAAGAGATGTGCCGGGACAAGAAGGGGGGACACGGGCCCAAGAAACCGGAACGAATGGGCGCACAGGGGCAGGGGAGCCGGGAGGGGAGAATGTGTGTGCGGACACGGACATGGACGAGAGGGCGAGCAGAGAGAGGGCAGGGAGGAAGGAGAGAACCCGGAAAGGCAGTGCAGGGGGGCAGGTGCGGGGAGGCACCGGGCAGGGGGAGGGGGCAGGAGGGAGCTGCAGGGAGGAGGCTGGTGGAGGGGGCAGAGAGGAGACCGCCGGTGGGAGAGAACAGAGGATGCTGGAGCGGCGGAGGAGCTCAAGGAAACATGCACGCCGGCCTCTGGGGGCACCAGGCTCAGGGGCACCAGGCTCAGTGGCGAGCCCAGGTCTTCGGCGTGAAAACTCGCTCCCAAGAGCTGATGAACCGTCCGAGCCCAGCAAGAGGAGGAGAAGGAGTATTTTCCATCAACGCCGAGGTGAAGACAATGTGTGAAGTGACGCCATGTGGGGAACGAGTGATATTAAATAAATCAACAGCAAAACACCCCTCCTAAGAAGAAAGAGAAGAGACACGTGCATGGACTAAAACTTCTTCTTCATCTTCTTCAAAAAACTAGGGTAAGAGCTGAGAAACTCCCTAGTCTAGTAACAACCTCAGCTAAAAATTTCTGGTAAAATCAAGACACCCTATCTCCAAGCAAAAAAACTTAGATGAAAAAAAAGAGAAGAGAAGAGAGGAGAAGAGAAGAGAAGAGAAGAGAAGAGAAGAGAAGAGAAGAGAAGAGAAGAGAAGAGGGAAAGAAAGAAAAGAGAAAGAAAGAAAAGAAAGAAGAGAAAACCCAGTGAAACCGTAGATGGCAGGTGCCTAGTGCTCTGAAACAGGTAACACTAGTCCGTGGCGCCAGGAAGGTGCTTGCGTGTGGGAAGGAGCCAGAAAGAGGCACGAGGGAGGTGCAAGGGTTCACCTTCCACAAATGTGTTCAATGTGTGAAAAATCCTTTCAGCCTGAGATGTGTGTATTTTTCTGCATTTCTTACACTTCCAGAAAAAGGTTTATAAAAAGTCTTACCCATAAGAGAAAGCATCATTATCTCTCCATTTCGAAATAACAGACGCTGCCAATCCAGCCAAAATGGCAGTGCTATCGAAAAACATGTGAAAAGAGTCGGAAATCAACCCTAGGCTGGAAGAGAACAAACACGGTGCACATTAGAATAATAACCAGACAGGAGGCGGCCTCTCTAAAAACCTAAGCTCCAGCCACTGCTCATCAGGGACTCATCTTCTCAAAAGACAGTGAAACAGGATAAAGAAGAAAGGGAGTGGGGAGGAAAAAAAACAGAACAGGTAGATTAATTTCATGCATTAATTATTCCTTCATTCTTGCATTGAGCAGATATGTAACAGGCGTACTGTGTATGACATAATAAGGTGTCTGAGTGAGACAGAAGACCCCTACTTTGATCAAGCTCACATTCCAGCGGAAAGGTGAAAGGCAATGGACATTCAAGGTGGAACTTATCCATCCTTCCACTGATGACATGTTCCCATCATCAAAAACGTAAACTAGAATTAATTTATTCCTTTAAAAGGAAGGTTCTGAACAAGAACCAGAATGCTGCAACTAGACCAACTATTTCTAAGAACCTTTATTTGTGAAGAGTGAGAATATTTTGTCCATCTTTTTTTTTTCCATAACAGAAAAAAAAACTTGACATTTCATGTTCATAACATCTTGGAACTCAATTATTGCAGAATGAAAATGAACATAGAAATGACAATGACAAAGTTTCGGTGAGAAATTTCTCAAGGAACTAAAATCCAATGGAGCCTTCAGAAACAGAGATAATCCAGTCATAAAAAAGAGACTGGTGCGCATTCAGTGAAGGGAAATATAAACTGCGGGATCTAAAGAAGACGTAGAAAGCCAGATTGTGAAGAGGCCCGAGCAGTTTCCCAATCTGCCCAGGCTTCCCTGGGAACACATCTGTACTTCTAAGCCACTGATAAAAATTAGTATTAGGGGACAGCTGGCGGTGACTCTGCCGGTGACCGGGACGATGAATACCAGCAAACCGAGCTAGGTATAACGGGCTCTGGTTCAGAGCTAGACCTCAAATCCAGGAGGCGGCACAGCCCAGCCTGGGGAAGAGAGCCAGCCTCAGAAGACCAGGCCACGGAAGAACAAGGCATGTGCCGCTGATGTTTTGCTTTCGAGCCGATGGCTTCTAACAATGACTTGGGAATCACTGGTTTCAGCAATTTCCCCAACAGATCTCTACAGACCAAAAGGATGACGGTGTACAAAACTTTCCATGGAAGCGGTAGCCTGGGCACTTCAAATATGATCCCCTTAAACAAGACATTTTACGTAGTGACTTATGCAACAGTAGGCCACAGTAAAATATAATTTAGGAAGAATAAACAACATAGATATTTTGTATCTACAATAAATTATGATTATTCCAATACAACTTAAGACAATACAGTGGACCCTTGAACAACACAGGGGTTACAGGCACCCAACCCCAGCATTGGAAAACAAGTGTGACTTTTGATGCCCCAAAACTTAACTAGTAAGAGCCTACTGTTGACTGGAAGCTGTACCAATAACATAGACAGTCAATGGACACAAATTGCATATGTTACATGTATTATATACTGTATTCTTTCAATAAAGTGAGCTGGAGAGAAGACAATATTGTTAACAAAATCACGAGGAAGAGAAAATACATTCAGAGTGTGTATGTACTTAGAAAAGGAAAACCTGCATGTAAGTGGACCTACATGGTGGAAACCTGTGTTGTTCAAGGGCCAGCTGCACAGCGCTTGCAGGGGGTACCATACATCACAAGATACATGTATATGATTCCCAGGGGGTTAAAAACAGTGGTTACATAGGTTGAGTGTGGTCATTTCAATAAGCATGTTACACCCAGGTCATTAAACCAATAACCTTCATACTTCCTGAGTATTATGGACAAAACTGAATTCATGTTTGCATTGAAAAGTAGCCCACTTTTCACATAAAAGTATTCAGGTCATAAAAACTGGTGATGTTATCTAATGTCAATGCTCAATTTCAATAGCAATAAAGATCAAGGACAGTAACCGTCGGTGACGTGGACCTTAAAGGACAGAGACTGAGTCTCTTTAGTTAATGGAAAACAAAGAATAAATAGCATTGGTTCTTAATCAAGGGTCCAACAGCTATTTTGAGGAACCCAAGAACACCCTGAAGCTTTATATAAAATGTTGAGTGTTGGCTTCATCAGATTCTCAAATGGATACGAGATTTAAAGACAAATCAGTACACCTAGAAGTGTGGTGATCATATTGTTGAACAATTTTATAAGACCTTAAGTTATTCAACAGCAAATAACTACTCAATAACTTTCATTCCCTGAGTTAAACAGGATATGGCCCTTCCCAAAGCAGTTAAATAAACAAACAACAAAGGCGACACCAAAAACCCTCTGCTCGAGAGATGTCAGCTTTGACCTGTCAAGAAGTGAATCTACAAACAAACGAAGCAAACAAGAGCAGAGGCAGAATCACGGATACAGAGTGTTTTGATGGTTACTGGATGGGAGGTGGGTGTGGGGGAGTGGGCGGACAGGTGAGGGGATTGAGTACAAATACATAGTTACAGAATAGCCACGGGGATGTAAAATACAGCATTAGGAAATGCTGGTATGGGGACTGTCTGAGCGAGTGGGGGGTGCTGGGTGGAGGGGGCAAAGGGGAAAAATTGGAACAACTGAAATAGCATCATCAGTGAAACATAATAAAAACTGTAAGGGGTTTCCTACTGCAGTCAGGACCAGAGAAAAACCATGAGGCAGTGTCTGCACAACATTAAAGAGAGAAGAGAACGACACCTAGTTCTCCAGACATCCGCTTTATAAACCTCTTCCCCATTCCAAGACCTAATAACAAACTAAGTAAAACCTCTCAGATTCGCCCTCTCCGGAGTCTCAGGGGTGGGACGCAGATGCCACTCCCCCACAGACAGGCAAGGACACTCCCCCACGGAGGCAGAAAACAGGTTTCTCCCAATTCCAAGACAGTGGGCAAAGCTAAGACGTGGGGTTAGAGGCCAAAGACGCTCTCTACCTGCCCAAATGAGGAGGGGCCTTGCCACTCTTGTGTGACAGAGTGGGGGGGTGGGGAAAAGAAAAGTGGGGACCCAAATCGTAAGACCTGCCGCTCGCGATGGGCCCGGATGTTAAGAAATGTACCCATGCCAGGCCGGTATGCACAAGACAAGCTAACTGGGCAGGAGAGGTGTCCGGCACGGCAAAACCTGAACCTCCCGGTGACAAGCTACGTGGCACTAGGCAAACAGAGCTTGGGATCCGCCACCCCACCGCTTCCGCCTCAGCCCTTCCCGCTTCGGTTACCAGTTGCTCCAGATGCCGTAGAGTAGTTCAACAAAAGCGAAAGATAGGTTCAGGCACAGGAAGAAAAACAGGTTCCGAGACGTCTTGTCCGACAGGATGGACCTGGCACGACAAAGTGGGGGAGCGCCCGAGAGTCAAGGGGGTGCCGGGACCCGACGCTGGGTCCCCTTTCCAGACCCTCCCCGTCTTCACAAATGAGGGTGTCCCCGACATTCCCTCCCTGGACCTGGGGCCCTTCTCCGATCTGGGCCTTGTCCCTCTCCCCGTGCCGGACACCCACTCCCCGCAAACAGGGCACCCCGCACCTAAACCAGCCCGAGATCTTGCCGAACAGATTGAACTTGGGTGGTTTGTATTCATCGTCTTTGATGGACAGGGGCAACATCTTCAATGCCCGGCGAAGGGCCGGGTCTACTCCCCTCTGGCAGTGGCTCCGTGGGTGACAGTAGTGACAGAGCTGGCGCCTCGGACGGGAATCCCCAGCGAGCCTGCCGGGCCGCGCGCAGCTGGGAGACAGACACCGACACACGCCCGGGAACTCGCCGACTTCCGGCCCGGGCCGCGCAACGCGTCCTGGGACGGGAAAGGGGGCGGGGCCGGGGCGGGGCCTGCGCGGTGGGCGGGTCTTACACCCGTCGCCTCGCGGTTGCTGCGCTACGGCCGTGGGGGCGGAGAGGGATGGCAGGTAGCACTAGACAGTCTCCGACCGGCGGTGGGGCCCAGCCACCTGCCTTAGGGAAGAAACTCCTGGGGTGGGACTGGACGGGAAGGCGTTCGCGGCCCCCGCCCCGGCCGCCTCGCCCAGTGTCCGGGGATGCGCCGCGCCCGGGGCCTGCCCTTTCGCCACGTCTCCGGTTAGAGTTAATTCCCGGCGCGTGCCGCAGCAAAGCCCGAGAAGGCGGGCGCGGCTTGTCCACTCGCCGCCGTTCCTCAGGCAGCGCAAGTGACGGTCCTGTTGGGTGCATTCTGCGGGCCCCCCAGTTTTTTAGGGCCCACACAGCCGCCCCGGAATGAGTGGGGCCCCTCCGCAGGGCCACGAGACGCAAATCGGGAGATGTGCAAAAGAATGTGGAAGCGTTTACGGGGAGCTGCTGCGAGCCCGCGCTCAATGGGGGTTTAGTTGGTGCATTGCTCCCCCAGTCTCGGCCCGCGGATACCCCCGGGGGCGCCCTGGACCGCGGTGGGCTGACCCTCCCCGCCCATTACGACTGCGGCAAAAGCCTACTCGTCCCAGCACCCCTGGGGCGTGCGGGGTCGTTGGGACACGCCTTCGGGCGCCTTTCCTGTACTCCGCTAGGGGACGGTCCAGCTCATCACGTGAATGACTGACGGCGTTACCTTGGGGAAGAAACGGGGCAAAGCAGGACTGGTTCGGAGGTGGGTTGGGAACTGAAAACCAAGCTTCCTGGGAAGGGCCTGCGCTTCAACAGGAAGTGGAGCCACAGCGAGGGCGGGCAGGCGGCTGGGGGACGGTCCCAGCTCCGGGCACTTACGCCGCGGGTGCTGAGTGCTCCCGGAGACCGGCCGGCGCCGCAAAGCGAGCGGGAAGCGCGCTGCTGGGTTTAGAACGACTCACGCACTTACCTTCGCGAGCAGGCGAACCGCCCCTTCCGTTTCTTGACAGCCGAGCTGCGAGCAAATACCTCGGCGTCTCCGCAGCAATCTCTGCTCTCTAGGTAAGGAAATCGCACGAGGCTCTCAAGTTAAAGATGTTTCCAACGAGGGTGATGCGTGTTTTGCTTCGGTTCTTGGAACTTTGTTGGTGGGGGGGGGGGGGTAGTGAGTGGGTGGTTTTATTTTTGAAAATATAGTGTCTGTATTCTCCGACTTAAAAAAACGTTCATGTCCATTCAAACTGCTATGCAGAAACAACTAGATTCCAGAAATTAAGGTCTGAAACGAGTATTTTGACTTTGCCTTTGTTGGCATATATTTCATTAGTATTTTAACTTAAATATATAAATATTTTCAATTACTGGCATTTACTTGTGTTTATTAGGAAGCTTTTATATTAGCCATAGGCTTTGAATTTTACTCTAACATTAAGTGGGTGCAAACCAGGTTAAGGATAGGTAAATACTTCCACGGCAGTTGGGTTTTTCTGCAAAACGGCTTTATTTCAGTGTGATGTAACTTAGGGGGGCAGAAAGAAGGTCTATAGAAATAACTGAATTTCAGCAACTGATTTCCATAACTCACGGTCAGCTGCAACTTAAGCCTGTATTTTTGTATTATGCCTTTGAAAATAAATTGTACAGTATGGTGATTACCAGAGGGAAAGGGGTGTAGGGGAGGCAGGAGAGGGCAAAGAAGGGATAAACGGTGATGGGAGGAGACTTGTTTTGGGGTGGTGAACACACAATATACAAACGATGTATTATAGATTTGTACACCGGAAACCTATGTAATTTTATTAACCAATGTCACCCCGATAAAGGCAATTTACAAATAAATAAATTGTGCATTTTGCCCTATATTGCTATAAGTGAGAAATTGCTGCACTGGTTTATGGAGAAATCTGCAGTACCCCTTTCCAAATAGTTTTAAAGTGAGTCGGAGAAATCAAAATTTAATTGCATTTGTATTGGTTTCCTGGGACTCCCAAATTCCCTGCCTCCCACCTCAAAAATATAAGATAGGTTTTCCTGTGACTGGGAGGGACTGCTCCTTTCCAAAGGGGCAATGCCACTCAGAGATTTCCATCTCGGATGGCATAATTACCACCTCCAACACTAAAGGCATTTCAGTGGGAATATAAACGGAGCACTGTTTAAACCAGGAAAAGTTCTACGCATGGAAAATGTTTGTGTCTCGCTTCTTCGGTCATCTTGAAGTAATACTTGACCATGCATGTTAACCGTTATGTGTTGACAAAGCTGAAGTTCCTTTTTTTCATTCATTCAGCAATCATTGAATGAGTGTCCACCGTACACCAGACTCTGTGCTGGGCACGGGGGCGGGGGTGGCAGGGGAAGGAAGTGGGTTACAAAGCCAAAGACGTTCAAGTTCTTCTCCCAGAGGAACTGGATGGAGGAAGGAGCTGACGTGAGGATCGGGGTGGTGACTGGCAAACCGGTTGTGATTTTTAGAACGGTGATGTGCAGGAGTGTGCGTGCAGAACTGCCCTGCCCAGGGTCCGGGGAGGAGGGGCCTCCAGCGCCCAGTGAGCCTGTGATGCACACACCATGCCGTCCTTCTGCCCTTTCGATAACTCGTATTGTGCAAGAGCATGATTCTGGAAAATCAAAAATGGTTCTTCAGCTCTTTTCAGGTGGTTGTTACAGAGGCAGTATCTTTAAAGTCTCCAATCAGAGTCTCAACTCCTTCCTATGCTACAAGATTAAATGGGTGGATGAGATGACAAAATATAGGATATCGTAATGAACACTTTAAAACTAATAAGTGGATTTCTACTCTGCATATGTTTAACGTCTGTTTATATCATCTCCTAATTAGTTGCATTAGGTTAACTATGCAGACTACTTCGGGGGGAAGCTAGTTTTTCAGACACGTGATGGAGGCTGTGAGAAGTGAGAGCGGAGAGAATCAAGGGGCTGAGGCTCATCTGCAGCCGGGGTTCCGGCCGCCTTCGAGAGACAGGCAGTGAGGGAAGGATGCCGTCTGCCCTGGCATTTATTTATTTATCTTTAAATTTTGTTTACTTATTTTTAGAGAGAGGAGAAGGGAGGGAGAAAGAGAGGGAGAGGAACATCAATGTGTGGTTGCCTCCCAGTCACCCCCCGCTTGGGGACCTGGCTCCCAACCCAGGCATGTGCCCCCACCAGGAATCCAACCAGCGACCCCCTGGTTCACAGGCCCGCATTCAATCCACCGAGCTGCACCAGCCAGGGCTCAACCCTGGCATTTACCTGCGACCTCTTTTAGGTCCTGCGGTTTTATAGATGCTTCACACTGAACACCCTGTGGAGGTTTAGTGGAAAAAGGAGCTGTGGTGAAGGACAAAACTACAGACACTTAAGAACCTAGGATTTGAGTATAAGCTGTAGTGACTAATACAGTCAGAGATATTCCTCCAGCACATATATGTTCTGGTTTCAGACATGTAAACCCATGAGATGGGGGATGCTCTGAGCTTATCCTGCTTCTGGATACTCAAGAGAAACACGGAAACAAAAATGCAGCAGTATTGGCAGCAACCTATAGGAAGACATTATCTCCCTCATTGCCAAAACGTAATTTTTAGAATGCAAGATAGCCAATTTTAATTTCTAGAAATAATTCAAAGCCTGTGGACAATGGCACTAAAAGCATTTTTTTAAAAAATTCCTGCTCATTGACAAAAACATCACAGAAGATTCTTTGATTTCTCTTAATAGCATCAAGAGAGTGTGTTCCTATCAATTCCTGAAGCCGCGAGGAAAAAGGATCGAAACTGTCATGATGAGGTAAGTGCCCGTCTGTATTTGCTCAGTTGGAGTTGTGCTGAAGCGCGCAGGTTTGCCGTCTGCACTGTTTTTCAGTGACCAGTTCCATAGCGGTGAGCACCTTCACATTGCTGAACGACCCAGCTCTAAAACTGTTCCGCCCTGCAGAACGGAAGTTCTGGGCCCACTACGTGGCCCCCTCCCCCGTTGGCCGTCCCCCGGTCCCTCACAGCCGCCGTTCTCCGCTTTCTGTCACCGTGAAATGGACTGCTCTCGCCTCCTCAGACGAGTGGAATCCTAGAGGGTTCGTCTTTTTTGCGTCTGGCTCGTTTCATTTCGCACAGTGTCCTTGAGGTTCAGCCACACTGTGGCGTGTATCAGAATGCCCTCTCTCCCTCCCCTCCCCCTCTCTAAAAGTAAATAAACATGAAATCTTTTTTTAAAAAAAGTGTCTCCAGACTTCACCAAATGTCCCCTGGAGAGCCATATTATTCCCGGTTGAAATCTCTGGTGTAGAAGGGGCTAGAATAACAATATCCAAAATAGCTGAAAGGGCGTGCTCCCTACCCGTGAAGAGCTGGTAAGGTAACACGTGTGCAGGAAGTGTCGTCTGGGGGATCTTTGATTTCTGCAACGTGCGGGATGCACGGGCGCACACCGTGACCGGCGAAGCACACAGTGCCCGGTCTGATGACTAGTCAGCCCGCTGTGATTGCTCGCTGCCGCCGGTACTGCCTGCCCCCCGCATCGGGGTTCTGCGTGTGACCTCATGCGCGTGAAAGTTTGCTGTCGGAAAGTGGGTTGGAAGGCGGCACACTGCCCCGCGGTCCGCGCACGCCAGGACACCCAGTGGCACACCTTACACGTGGGCGGTTTCTATGTCTGGGACAGCTCAGTGACGCTGTTCCATAAACGAGTGTACTGCTAAGGGAAACCGGCCCTTTGAAAACGATCTCAGTTTTAAATTTTTGGCAGTAAAACGAGGGTGAATCTCAAAATGCACGGCTTCACCCTGACTGGCTGGTGTAGAAGATCGTCTGTCTGCAGCCGCCAAGGCGGCAGGCCAGCAGGGGAGGCTCCTCCTCCGGCCTCGCCGTCTCGGGTGGAGGCGGGAGAACCGAAACAGCATCGGGGGAAACGAGCAGAACCCAAACATGGAGGCGGGTGGGAAGGCTACCACCTCGTCTCCATTCCCCCTCCAGGTGTCGCCACGTCTGCAGACTCCCCGGCAGGGTGCTGGGCGTCCGGGCCGCGCGCCTCCCTCTGGCTGTCGTCCTCGCCTTGCTGCTGGTGGCCGGGGCCCTGACCACCCTCCTGCCCAATAACAGAGACGACAGGGTGCTGGAGCTGCGGAGGGAAGTGAAAGCCGGGGGCAGGCCGGTCCGGGACGCCTTCACTCTGGTCATGCAGACGTACAACCGGACGGACCTGCTGCTGCGGCTGCTGAACCACTACCAGGCGCTGCCGCAGCTGCACAAGGTGATCGTGGTGTGGAACAACGTGGGGGAGAAGGCGCCCGAGGGCCTGTGGAACGCTCTGGGGCCGCACCCCGTGCCCGTGGCCTTCAAACCGCAGACAGCGAACAGGATGAGAAATCGGCTGCAGGCCTTCCCCGAGCTGGAGACCGAGGGTGAGTCGCCGCGGGGCGCCCGCCTCATTGTTTGTCCTCACTGTCCCGAGAAGAAAGAGCAGGGAAGGTTAGTGGCAGGAAAGCGTGTGGAAAAGCCGCAGGGACAGTTCCCACACGTCCGGAGGCAGTTTCCTGGGGAGATAAGCACATGCCGTTGCGCAGTGAGGAGCGTTGATGTTGGAAGGAAGCTGGGCTGTAGTTACTGTGGTTGCATCACAGGAGGCGGGGAAATGCCGTTCAGCTCACGCTTAACGTACTGCTTGCCACCCTCACCTTCCTCCTTTCCATCGCAGTTTCACGAGGTTCCGGTTTGCTTTAAAGAACGTCTGTGTTGCTTATCTATAGGTTTATTAGTTCCTATGATAATGGATGATAACTACACGGTGATTTCCCCCTCAGGCGGTTATAAAATCCATTGCAATTCAAATAACAACTTCCTGCTACACGGATCTCCCCGAGAATACGTGTTCCTTATTTACTCACTGAGCAGAGAATACCCCATCTGAAGGCCCCGTACAGACCCCAGCATGTCTTACTCACTGTGTCTTCACTTCCAGACTGTCCGGTTTCACTGTTCTTCCTTTCCTTTCAGCGGTGCTCATGGTAGATGACGACATGCTAATTAGCGCCCAAGACCTTGCGTTCGCTTTCTCCGTCTGGCAGGTAAGGCTGCTGAATGCTTGGTGAAGTCGTGGGCCGGAAGTCCTGCCTGGAGTCTAACCAGAGCAGTGGGGTTTAAGGCGGGAGCCGCCCAGCAGCGGGAGGCAGTGTTTGTCTGGAAGGCAGACGCACTGTGCTGCGGTCGTCTCGATTGCCCGAGCTCAGGGGAGCCCGCCGGCGGGGCACACTGTCTCGTACCCGTGTTTGATGGATACTCGGGGTTCTGGGCGGAGGGGCCAGAGCTGCCCTCCAGAGGACAGAGTGGACGTGACCGGTTGTGTGGCCGGCAGAGGCTGGGATCCAGAAGTGTTTCCCGCAAGGCCACCTGTGTGTCTCAAATGAGAAGTGTACTTTCGTGTTAATATGGTACATAGCCTTCACTAGAAGGAAGTGTTTTGCCCTGGCTGGCGTAGCTCAGTGGATTGAGCGTGGGCTTCGAACCAAAGTGTCGCAGGTTTGATTCCCAGTCAGGGCACATGCCTGGGCTGCAGGCCACGACCCCCAGCAACCGCACATTGATGTTTCTCTCTCTCTTTCTCCCTCCCTTCTCTCTCTAAAAATAAATAAATAAAATCTTTTTAAAAAAGAAGGAAGCGTTTAGTACAGCCACAAAATTTAATCCTGATTCTGAGGCCATTGTTTGCAAACGAATAACAGTGATGCTCTAGGCACCATGGAAGTGGCAGTTTGTTCGTTTCTTTTTCCCCAAACCCTGGCTGGGATGGGCGGGCACAGACCTCTCACTGCCCCACGGCTCTGTAGGAGCCGCCCCTTTCCTGCTGAGGACGCGCCAGTGGCCGCCGGCTATCAGAGGCCGCACGCCCGTTCCCTGGAACCAGATCGCGCACACGTGCGCAAACTGCCCGACATGCGGACCCTGTGCCCCGCAGTGAGCGGTCTCGTTCGCGCGGCCGTGACCCGCCCCAGCTGGCTCCTGGGGGCCCGGCAGCATCAGACGTGACCCGTGAGCGGTCGCAGGGCTCCGCACACACCAGCATTCTCAGACTGCGGGTCTCACCTCGCGCCTGTGCTGTGTGCTGATCGGCAAACGGATTCCCTGTCGGTGGCTTTTTCCAGCCCTGGAAATAAAGGCTGCTTACACAGAAAGTCCTCACGTAGTACTCCGGCTGGGAGATTTGTATTTCAGGCAAAAAAATCAACTTCCCTAAAACATCAGGGGTTTGGGGGCATGGTGTGGGGGAGAAATAGGAGAACTGTGGTTTGTTAGAACAACACAAGCAAGCCGTAATTAAACACGGATAAACACGACTTCAGGTTGTGATTGTAGAACTGTCGAGAACAACGGCCGTCGCTGCCCCAGACGATCTGACTCCTACTGCACAGTGCCCCCGTGCCCGCGCGCAGAGACCAGCAAGACCGGGCGTCTGCCTGTGCCTCCCCCCGCAGACCTCCTCCCCCGACGCTTCTGCCGTCCCCCAGTCCCCCACCCCGTGCAGATGCACCTCTTCCCCGGAGCCCCCGCCCCCTGGCCTTCGTTCCCTGTCCCCGGCCTCCCCTTTGTCCTTAACACCACAGCTGCCCTTCTGGCCTCGGCAGCCCCACGGCCCCCCAGCCACACCCCAGCCTCTCCCATGGCCCCCGGTGCCTTGTTCACTGGTCCCGCCGTTCCCCGTCTGGGCTGTGAGTTCTGTTGTCGACATGAGAGCATCCAAACTGGAGAGAGTTTTCGTGACAGTTTACTGGAGCCGAGCAGAGGGTGGGCGGGGAGCGAGGTCTCAGCACCCCGAGAAGCGTGCTCCGAGAATGGCCGCCTGCAGCCTTGGTGCTTCCCGGGTTGGGGAAGGCGGTACAGAGCCGGGCGGGCACTGGACCACCGCAGTGATCTTCAGCCCATGCCGTCTCCCGGCACACACAAACCGGTGACTGAAATTCTGCAGCACACCACAAAAATAATACAGTTTTTGCCAGTCTGACAGAAAGAATAGGTATAATTTTGATTCATTCACGGCTATTGTTGGCTTCGCTGTTGCCATTTTTTAATTTGACAACATAAGGGAAAAAAGAGGTCAGTCATTGCATGTTTAAAAAACTCTTTCAGGTCAGACATTGCATGTTTTAAAGATTCTTTTGGCACGCTAGTTGAAAATCGCTGGATTACAGGATACTTAAGAAGATGTGCTCTCTTAAGGGTGGCTTTGCTCATTTCAAAGGTGGGGCCACCTGGGTGCACAGAAACGACAGACAGGGACAAGGCTGGCTTTGGGCGAAGGTCAGCCTTCCACTGAAGGGGTCACAGGCCTGGGGCCTGACTGTGAGCCCCGGCCTGCCCAGTTAGGGGCACAGGGTTGGGTCAGCTGAGGTTACTTTCTATAGAACCCCTTATCGTGCACGCCCTGCAATGGGACTTGGCCCATCCTGAGAGAGAGAAAGAGAGGGAGAGTGTGTGTGTGTGTGTGTGTGTGTGTGTGTGCGCATGTTCCTAGTTCAGTGTCTGTTCAGTAAGTGAGTGACACTCAAATTATTTGTGAGATTAAACTAAACCCTTTAACCCTGTAAGTTCTCACCTCTCTCACATGCTTCACTGGTTTTCTTGTGTTTGCTGATTTTCTTAGTCACCATCACCTTAGCGTTCAATGCCCTTGTTTTACTGCTCTCCTTCCTTCAGTCATCCTGGCACATCTACACACACACACACACACACACGTGCTCACACATGTTTTTAAGAAGGAAACACCCAGGATGAAAAGGGATAAAAATAGAATACTGTCCAAAATCCACGGTGACTTTCAGAAACATTGCATCAACATGGAAAACCAGTAAAATCACACCTGTGGATCTGTAACTTTATATACCCCTTAGAGATGAAAAGTTTTTCAAAATCATCACATCATGGCTCCTTATCTCCTGGGATAAATAGCATTCACGCGGCCAGCTCCCTTGGGCCAGCTTTGAAGAACCAGACTCTGGTGACGAGAGTTTATTAGTATCAGGTGACGTGTGGATTCGGAGCACGTGGGTGAGGGTAGAGACTTGGGTTGGGATGGAACTTGACCTGTAAACCCACCGGGGTGTGGATGTGTGCAGTGGCCCTGAGTTACGTGGAATGGGGAATAAAATGAAGTGGACGATTTGCTGAATTCCCCCTGTGCTAACTCGTTGCCTTTTTCACCATGTCCGCCCCGAGAAGTAGCCCACTTACTTGTTCTTTTTCCATCTGTCCAGCAATTTCCCGACCAGATCGTAGGGTTTGTCCCTAGGAAGCACGTCTCCACCCCATCGGGCATCTACGGTTACGGGGGCTTCGAGCTGCAGGCCCCAGGCCCCGGGGGCGGGGACCAGTACTCCATGGTGCTGATCGGCGCCTCCTTCTTCAGCAGCAAGTACCTGGACCTCTTCCAGCGGCAGCCCGCGGCCGTCCGCGCCCTGATCGACGAGACGCAGAACTGCGACGACATCGCCATGAACTTCCTCGTGGCCGAGCACACCGGCAAGGCCTCGGGGGTGTTCGTGAAGCCCGTGAACGTGGGCAGCCTGGAGAAGGAGACGGCCGGGGCCCACGCGGGCATGTGGCACCGCGCCGAGCACTTCCCGCAGCGGTCCTACTGCGTCAACAGGCTCGCGGCCATCCACGGCGGCATGCCGCTGGCGTACTCCAACATCATGATCTCCCAGTTCGGCTTCCCCTACGCCAACCACAAGAGCAGGGCGTGAGCGCCCGGCAGCCGCAGACCTCACAGCCGCTCCGTCCGCGCCGCCGTGGCTGAGCGTGTCGCGTTTTTAAGCGACACGACGACCTTTTATCCACTCCGGAAGTTCAACAGAGGAAAAAACGTACAGTGCTTCTAGGATAGGAAAGTCACGTGAACTTCAAACACCAAGAAGCGGGGGGTTCTTCTCGCGAGGGGTCTTCATCCAGGGATGGGACTCCTAGGTGTGGGCAGCTTGATCGTTTGCATGCGGAGGCGGTCCTTCGATTTCCCGGACTCCCGGCATTTGCCTGGAGGACGCGGAGCAAGCCGTCTCCAGGGTCATAAACGGCAGGGAAGCACTTCTCCGCGTTTTCATGGAGGGGTGCTCGCTTCTGCTGGAAGCCGGAAGCGCCCCTTCGTAAAAGCCATGCGAGGAGAGACTGGCCTCGCTCCCATATCAAAGCCGCAACTCGGTGCCTCCCCGCGGCCCGCCCAGCCGGCCCGGCCCCGTTGCGGTGCAGCCCCCTGCTTTTCTCTCTGTCCCCCAGTCCGTTGTGACTGGGGGTCCATGTAACAGCCGGAAAACTCCAGTGCTGTGCTTGATTTTCGTGGGCGTCGACTGCATGGGTCACAGGGAAGGGCAGCCCATGGTTTTACACAACTGCCGTAGCATGCAGCCCACTGCTCAACTAGATTCAGGTGGCGCGTTTGTGTCCCCGAATCTGACCTTGGGGTTGCACATTAATTCTTACGTCTTCCATCCATGTGTGTATTGTTTAAGAAATGTGTGTAAAATAACTCCTGAACGAATGTTGAGTGAGAACTGGCAAAATTAAAACCCTTAGTATCAAAAGATCTTTATTTTGAGGATGTAGGTTATCTCATGGACACTAAAGAGTTGTGTGTAATATACACACAGTCCATTTCTGGCGTTCAGAACTTTTTTTTTTTTTTAAAGATCTAAGGCACTGCTCACCATTATGAGCCTTGGGTTACGCAGATACAGGAACGAACTCGAAGTCTGCGTCGCCGTGGGGGAGTGCTGTGGGGAGCGTGCCCCGGGGAGCCCCTACGTTGCCCACTCAGTGACCTGCGGGCGGGACCCGTGTTCCGCGGTGCTGGTCTGATGCTTGCTCACCGCCGGCAGCAAGGAACACGTAGGCCTCTGTCTCCTAACCGCCCCCTCCCTCTCCGCCAGCTCCACCTCCGTCTCCCAAAATGCCATTATATTCCCATAACTGCAAAGCTGTGAAAATATTATCCTGACCCTGGTTTGTGTTGCAACAACGAGGTCTTTGTGTAGTTGGTTCAGTATATGTTGTTTCTTTGCCTTGGCACACGTGTGCGTGTCTCAGTGCAGTCGGATAAAACCGGTAGGACGCGGAACCCACTGAAACTCTGTGATGTTAATCCTCTGCTCTGTTCCAACTTGGTGGTGATTTTTGGCCTCCTGGGATTGCACTGTCAGATAAATAAAGTGAAGTTTTACCATCCAGGTGTTCTGTGCTGATGGAGCCGGCCCATATTTCCGCAGTCCCTGTTTTTGCACGTTTGTTAGTAGTGGTCTGCTGTGAGGCAGACGCGCTAGCAACATTCCTGAGTGTGTAGATACTCCCAGATCTTCCCCCACTTTGTGTTCGTGAACTTGTCTTCAGCGTCCCGTAAGCTAACTGTATCATGTTTTTCAGACATTACAGAGCAAATACGAAAACACAGTGAAGGACGGTCCGTGTTACAAAGACTCGTGCACTGTGGCTAGAATTTCGCTAAAACGGTCCTTCCCTGCACACCTCTTACTAACTCGGGCCTACAACTGCATTAGGGAAGAAGGTGGTTTAGGGATACATGTTGCAGCTGCGCCCTGGGGTCTCCCGTGCTTCCCAGGTGTCCTGTTTGCTTGACTTCTTAGAGCCTCAGTCTCCTCATCCGCCAAAATGAGAATCACGTCCGCCCAGGGGTGGTCTTAAGGAACAAAGGGATGGGGTGTATGAAAGCAGCCTTGCCTTTCTTTAATGCCTTGCCCATTTAAAATGGTCGTGAATCTGCTGGCTGTGTCACTGACAATAAGTACCGTTAGTTGTACACTGAGCACCAAGGTATCAGAAAGGCCCTTGGACCCAGCAGGTGACGTATCCAGGAAACGGCTCCTACATGACAGTGGGCAGAGAACCACCACAGGTTTTGTTTCATTTTCTTTATTTCCAGAGCCCTTTTTCTTGTTAAAGCATGACAGCACACATATTCTAGCAATTTCAGCATAGTCGGAACAGCGTAAAGAAGAAATTAAAGCCCAAAACCTCACTAACAATGGCTAAACATCGTTGTGTCTCTTCCTCTCTATTCTTCCAGGCGTGTATTTTAAGAGCATGGTTTGGTATTTCATTGGCCAGATAGGCCATCATCTACGTAATCGATCACCTTACCATGTTATTTGACAGTTTCTTGCTAGTAAAGCGTGTGGGTGGGTGTCCTTGCCTGCAAGCCTGCCTGTAGGGATTCTTTAAAGTCCAGCCCAAGACCGCCAGTGCCTGGATCTGTCGGGCATCACACGTGTTTTCCGGGTTTCTGATACCTGTTGCCGCTCACCTCCAGGAGCGTTGCCATAGCTACACTGCTACCAGTCTCAGGGCACCGTTTCCCATCAGACGTGCCTGCGTTGCGTAGCACCTAACATTTTCTTTCTCTTTCCCACAAACAAACTGCTCGAATGACACAGGGTTTGGACGTGTTTGGGCCATGTCAGGAACTCTGTGTTAAAAAGGCTGAAAAGACAATCAACTGTCACATAAAAGATTGGAGGGCAGAAATCGGAGATTTAAAGTGCTTCTAGAAACTTTGCCCAGGCTCCTGAGTACAGTCGAGGAATTGCTGACCCTTTTCTGGTCCCAAGAATAAGAAATTCAAAAGCCACAAAAAAAAAAAAAGAAAAAGAAAAGTTCACACTTGTTCCTTTTGCAAAGACCTGGGCTTTGGCCCCGAGTCAGGAATGGATAGGTGTGTGCGTGTGCCCATGTATGTGTGTGCATGCACCCACACGCGCCTCTGGTGACTCTGGGAGGGTCGGAGGTGGAGGAAAGGATGGAGTGGAAGTGGGGTAACGCTGGGGTGGAGGAGAGATGCGGGCAGGCCAGGTCTCACCGGGTGCTGGGCCTTCAGTGGTGAGACGGGGTCCCCCGCCGCCCCAGGCTGCTGCTGCTCCGTGAGCCAGTGTTGACTGTCCTGCCGGGGCTCGCCCAGCTTCCCCTTCTCTCTCTGTCTCTGTCTCTCTCTGCCCCTCTCCCCCCCTTCTCCTTCACGTCCTCCTTTTCCCCTTTTGTGAAGACTCTCAATATAAAACCCTAACATTTTCTTTTTTTAGAGGCATATGACTTTTATTATTTTTTATTCCATCTTTAATGTATTTTTTTCTTTACCTTTGGTGCCCTGTACCCGCTCGCCCCAGCAATCACCACACTGTGACGCACGTCCATGAGTGGCTTTTCCTTTTCTGCCCCATCCCTCCCAGATACGTTCAGAAACACCCTTCCTGCCGTGCAGTGCAGAGAGCATCCGGGACACGGGAGACTGCCCTGGGCCCGGCCCCGCCCGCCTCCGTCACCTGCCGGGTGGGGCTCAGGCGCGGGCCCTGCAAGGTCACTGGCGGCCTCTGGTTTCGCAGGGCCGGACGCGTGGCCCTGTTGCGGCGATCATCAGTGGTGCAATTCATTCGGTGACCCCGCATCTGGCCAGAGAGCCAGGCGTGTCCCTGGCTCGGGCTTGTCTCCCCCTCTTGACCCTCTCGTGCCTCTCTCGGTTCTCGCATCCGGAGGAGCCGACGGGGAGCTGCCGCTCCTGGGTGGGGCCTGTGGACACGCGTGTGTCTCCGGGGCGCTGCAGAGCCGCGTTACATAGTGCCGTACGCGTCTCGGTTACACATTTCTGGTGGGAGTCGGAGGGCTGAGTGAAGGCAAGCTGAACATAGATCCCCAGGCCCTGTGCATATGTGTTCACGTATTTTTCTTTTAAACAAGAAACTTCATAAAAAGCTAATGAAGGCAGCTTTTATACAGGAAAGAACCCTGTTACGGGAAAATGAGGAACCATTGGTGTCCTGTCGGATAGGGAATGAGTTATATAAATCTGTCTGAGTCTCAGCTTCCCCGTCTGCACAAGAGACAGGTGAACTAGATGGTCAGTAAGTTTCTTTCACTTGTAAAGCTCTGCGGCCCTAAGTCCAAGTGTGGGATTGGTGGGTCTGCAAGGAGCCGGGTTCTGCCTCTGGACGAGACTGTGAGTGCAGCTTGGCTGAGCTCACCCCTCCCCGCCGCCCGAAACCTACTTCCCCAGGAGTCCTCTCTCGGAGTGAAGACCGCCTCAGCCAGCATCACTGCCGGGGCACAATTTTAGGACAGAGAGGCGTGATGACGATGGGACCACCACTCAGTGGAAAACGCCGACCGGGAGAGGTTACGGCTCGAAAGACTTGTACTTCGCAGCCAGACTCCTGCGCCGCCGGCGTCTGTGACCCCAGGGAGACTCGCGGCCGGCCCACGGCCCCCTCGGACCACGTGGGACGGCGAGTCAGAAACGACAGGCACAGCCGGTCATTCTTTAAACCCCGAATACAAGTTTCAGTGACTAAAACTGTGCTGTTCACATTTGTAAGTTTTTTCTGGAATTCACGACTCTACCAGCAGGTGTCAGTGTAACCCAACTAATGAACGTTTGTGGGTTAACTGCCGGCCAATAAAGGAGTGAAAATAATCTTCAAATAGCAAAGTTAAAAACCTATTCTCGATGTTTTCGACTAAGAATACCTTCAGTGGAGCTATAGAAAAATATTAACCCTTCAAAAGTCAAGTCACCAGGGGCCCTTGCCCAGGCATATCATCATTACGTAAGGCGTAACTTGTATGTCAGTAGTTATTACATTCTATGTGACAAGAGCGTTTTCAGGGACATAAAGGACACGGTCTTAAACTAAGTACAAAAGTGCTAACCTGGGGTGAAGTATAGGAACAACAGTCTTTTAAAAACTCACATCACGGACGTGACAGCCCAGTGGAACCCGCTTGTCTCTGGTGACAAAGTCACAGCCCCTGCGTTCCCGCGGAGCCCCGAGCCGCCCACAGCGAGGCACCGCCCGTTTCTCAGGACGCAGCCCTTGCCCCTCGCACACGCAGCCACTCTGACGGGGGTGACGGCAGCGCCTCTCACGGGGGAGACACGGGCGTGGCCCCGCACGGTCCCTGGAGCGGCCCTGCGGTGCGGATACGCGGCTCCCCCACGTCTGAGGGCTGCTCACCGGTGTTCGGAGAGGGCCCGCAGCGAGGCAGAGCGACAGGCCGCCGGTGCCCCACGGCCGTGCCCGTCTCGGGGCACGATGCCCAGCCCCCTAGAGATGCTGCTTCGTGACCGGGGGGGAGGGGCCCTTCGATGCTTTTTGTCACGCTTGGGACTTAGTGCTCTAGCGCTCTATTTTGGCCAAAAGATTCCTCCAACAATGATATGGGACACGGCTAGAATTAGACCGAAATTAGGGTAAAATAAAGAAATGTGTGTCAAATTACTTTTATAAAAAAAGGTTTCTGTAGTGTTTTAAGTATGGCCTCAGCACGTAACCTACCCTCCCGTGCCTAGGTATTTATTTACCCAGGAGACGTGCAGAGATAAATCCACAGAAGACCTGCATGTGATGTCTGTTAAGACTTCACTCAGGTTCATTGTTGAAGGCTGGAAACGACTCGAGGTTCCGTCAGCTGGTTAAAGCGTGAACGTGCCGTGGCGTGTCCTTGTAACAGGACGCTGCTCAGCAGCGAAGGGGGACAAACTACAGACACACGCGACCACAGGGCCGAGTCTCAGCCCAGCCGGCCAGGTGCAGGGGGCGGGCCCGGAAGGCCGCAGGCCGTGTGACTCCGTGTGCGCCGCTTTCTGGGAAAGGCAGAAGTGCAGGGACAGGAACAGGTCAGGGGTCACCAGGGCCTGGGGGTGGGGGCGAGTCTGCACGTTTGTCAAAACTGGTGGAGCTGTGCTCCCAAAACTGGAGAGCATTTATTTCCTGTAAATTTTACCTCATTGAACCAGACTTTTCAAAAACAAAAAAATGAAAGACTTCAGGCACATACAAAATATCCCCACTGCACTGGTAGTAAAATTCAGGACTGACTGAGTCGGGTGACCAGAGATAGCAGAGAGTTAACGCCCGAACTCTTGCCCTGGAACAGCAGGCCCAGGACTCCGGTGCTGGCCAGCCAGGCCCTGGGCGTGACCCTGGGCACGACCTTGGGCGAGACCTTGGGTGAAGCCTTCTCTCTGTCGCAGTGGACTTGCTGTTACAGAAATTACATTAAACACTGTCTTCAAATTCTTTAACCTTGAACTTCTCAAGCTCGAGTTCTCATTCCATAAAATCTCCACCTTGCTGGTCATTAAAGGAAAACCCAGGTCAAGTATGTAATTTCTTTGGTACAGAAGCAGAGTTAATAATAATTTTAGCTTTATTACCCACCATTCCTTTGGAGAGGGGATTACATGGTCTGGCCAGCAGGGGTCAGGGTCTCATCTATGAAAAACCGACAATCCTTCATCTCAACATGCTTTTCAGAAGCATTAACATTTGCCTAATACTTTCAGCTGCAGTGGTCATGAACCTTGTTTCTCTAAATAAATGCTCGGAGGGAGGAAGGAAGATGTTCTGAACAATTGCTCTTGTCCTCCATCTTGGCCCCTGCTCCAATCAGGTGTGGTCCTGAAATCTGTGTGCCACCATGGGAAAGAACTCTCTCGCACACTCCATCGTAGTCAGTATTCAAGGACTTTCAGGAACGGGCCAATGGCATCACAGACATCACTTACCCAGTCTTGGCCAACTCGGTCTTGAATGCGATTCTCTTTGTGCCCAGTGGCCCCTCCGCGGGACGCCTTCTTCTGGCATCTCAGAAACCACATGTCTTCATACATCCCAGAAAAGCAGTGTCCCCCTTGTCCCGTGCCCATTGTGTGTGTGAGTCTGTCTCCCTTCTCTTTTGACGGCTCCCCAAGCCATGAATCCCTGGGAGGTCCCCGCGCTGCATCCCCAAGTGTGTGGCACAGGACCTTGTGCTCAGCGACGCCGATGGGGAGCAAACACGGGAATGGAGGTGAAACACCTGCACCGTCTCAGAATCCGCGGCGTTGTGATGACCGGGCGGAAAGTAAAAGGACCAGTAGTGCGCGGGTCTACAGAAAAGCACGCAGAGACACGACCGGTCTCCCTGGAGGAACATTCGGGACAGGTCCGCGTACCAGAACCAGGGCAGCAGCATATAAAAGACAAAAATTCGGAAGACGACGCATGACTTATGTGATGGATTAGGAGGGAGCCTTAATCCTTCTGTGCCCAAGACCCCTTGACATCTGGGGGAGCCTCTGGACCCCATCTCAGAATCACGTTTTTTTAAAAAAAACAAAGAATATGTTAAGATTACAAAGAAAACTAGTTACATTTAAATACAGTCTTCAAACTACGTTCAAACAATTTGTTAATAGGATCTAGCGGCAGGTTTGGTAACTACCATAATTTTATAAAAGTGATGAGCATAAACGATGTTTTGAGAAATCTGTGACAACTAAAACATGATACGAAAATACGCTTCTGACAGTCACAGACACTGCTGATCCTCTGAAGTTCTTGCCTCCATTCACCACTGATGAAAATGTGAAATTGCAGACTAGGAAATTAAGGCTGTAATTTTTCCCCTCCCTACATGTGAAGACCCCTCAAGCTCTGCGTGCGAACCCCGTGAGGGTCTGTGGACCCCGTGTTGCGAGTCCCCGAGCCAAGTGGAGGGCGGCTGGAGGGAACGAGGAGTCGTGGAGGGTGAGGGAGGAGAAGGGCCCCTACCCTCCGGGCCGCCTCCGTCTTTCCTTCAGGAAGCTCGGTCTCGCTTCCTCGCCTCTGCTTTGCTCTTCGCCCCACTCCGGCAGGGTCCGTGCCAGTCACCCCGGGAAGCCCTGGTCCCCACACCTGCCCGTGTCCAGACCCGACATCATCCGGCAGGTGTGTCCTGGTCCTTCCTTCGCTTGGTTTCTCGTTGGCTTTTGCACTGCTGACTGCTCTCCTCTTAAAACTTCTTTCCTCTTTGGGCTTAGCCCTTTCTCTCTCCCTTGTCCTGTTACAGAACACAGTGGGGGCCTGGGACGATATACTATCACCGAAAGGAACCCCCCAGGTTCGTTATGTCCGCCGCCAGAGGAAAGACATCTCTCAGTGCCAGAGATGCGTGAAAAGGAAAGAGAATGTTTATTTAATGCTATACAGACTTAAAGTAGTGACCTAATGTCTTCATCAAAATCCCAAAGTCCCTTAAACACACCCACGAACACACACACAGTCCTTCCTTCCCCCTTGGCCCAGTCTGGGGTACCGTATCTCAGGAAAAGAAATAGAATTCTGAGGCTCAGGCAGCCCCCAGTTCTTCCCAGTGATCCGTCTCCAATGGTCGGCCTCCCTCGGTTCCCGGCACCGTCAGCTGTGTCACCGGGACCTCTGCTAAAGCCGGGTGGTGGTTCCACCTACTAATGCTGCGGGGGTCCCCACTCTGGCAAAGCTGTGTGGTTCTCCCTTCTATTGCCACAGCTGCGTGGTTCTTCCTGCACAAAGGGCTGAGGGAGTCCCCACTCTGGCAAAGCCAAGTGGTTCTCCACTGCCCCAGCCTCGTGGTTCTCTCTCCAATGGGTGCCGCGTCTCCGGTTTAAATCCCCACGCCAATCCTCCTCTGCAGCCCCATTTCCGACTCCTCCCACAATTGGCTACACTTGCCATCACTCTCATATCCTTCCAGCTTCACTGGGCTGCCATCATGAGTCTGGGCAGGTGTGGCCCCAGGTCACGGAGCCAGTCACCTCCAAGCTCTCATGCAGGTGCTGTAACTCGGGGGAACAAGTCTCTCCCCACCGCGCCCCCCCACCCCCGGTTATGTCTTGGTGGGGAAGTTACTTCCATCCCTCTGGCTCAGAGCGTGGCCACAGCTATTTAATATACCTATGTACATCCCAGTTAAAGGTTAGAGATGTGTTAAATGACCACACCAGAGGTTAGCTGCAAAGCTGTTGCTATGCAAAACAGCTCTCAAAGGCCCTGCTCCATGTGTCCCTTCCCCCAGCTCACACCTGTGGGGGAAGGGGGGAGGACATCCTAATATTTCCTGGACACCCTGAGTTCTGGGCCCCATTCCAAATCCCTATCTGGGGCCCCCTCTTGGCTGCACCCTGTTACAATACTTCTCTGGTTCCTTCCCGGCCCCCTGCCCTGCCTCCTCTTCCGCTCACCCCTGTGCCCGCAGCTGTGCCTCCGCCTCCCACGGCCCCGCCCACTTTCCGGGGACAGTCTCAGTCATCGAGTCTGCAGTGCAGCCCAAGCCTCCGGCCCGAACCCCAGAGCCCACGTCCATCTCTGCATGACGCCGCTCTTCCGAATGGTACCGGGGTCCCTCAGACTCAGTATTTCCAGAATTAAACGTTTCACACACGCTGGTTTACTTAATCCTCAGATCGTCCCGCGGGGGAAGACTTGTTATGCCTGAAACTACCAAGGAGGACGACGAAGCCAAGGGAGGGGAGGAGCGTGCCCGGGCGGAGTCAGGAGCAGGTGGGCGGAGTCAGGAGCAGATGGGCGGAGCCAGGAGCAGATGGGCGGAGTCAGGAGCAGGTGGGCGGAGTCAGGAGCAGGTGGGCGGAGTCAGGAGCAGAGCGTGGGCGGGCGGGACCCCGGAGCCCTGGGCCTTCTGTTGCCCTCTGGGTCCCCGGCGTTGCCCGCCCAGGTCTGCTCATCCTGGTGCCGGTGAGGCGCTTCCTCAGAGGCCAGTGGGATCGCCTCGCTCTGTCGCTCTGTGCCCGTGACCTCTCTGTGCCCCGGGGACCGCTCACCATGGAGCTCCGTCGTCCTGCTCGGGGCTGCCTGCGGGCTCAGCCTGCTCCCCTCCCCCTCCTGTCCCCTCCGCTGCCACCACCCGCCTGGCACTCCGCACGCAGGTGCTTGTCCTCCCACCACACACCTCCCTCCCCTGTCCCCGCCGCCTCGGTCCACACTGCCGGCCGGTGCCCTGACCACCAGCAATGTGTTTCCTCCCGGTTCTGGGGGCTGGAAGTCCAAGGTCAAGGTGTCGGCGGGGTTGTTTCCTCTGGAGCCTCTCTCCTTGGCGTGCAGACGGCGGCCTTCTCCTGGGTCCTCACGCACCTTCCCTCGGCGCACCTGCGCCTCTGCAGCCCCTCAAGTCTCCCACCCCCTCTCCGCGGCTACAAGGACACGCTTCAGAATCTGTGTTATTCCTCACACGTCCCCTCTGACCCCTCCAGACGAGGTCAGCGTCCAGAGTCCTGGGCGTGTCCGCGGGCGGTAGCTTTCACACTCGGTCCACTGCATTCCTTACAAGGCTGGCCGCAAGCTCACGGAGGTCAGGGGCGGGGTCTGTTCCGCTGTTGCATCCGGTGCCTCGCCCAGCACCTGGCCCACAGGAGACGCACAAAACCCCGAGTGAATAAATGAGCAGACTTCTTGGTATTAGTCAAACCTTTCCTCACCTGCCCCCAGTGCCCGAGAGGGGGAGAATAAGTAAGTATAAAAGTGCTGTAGAGCCCTTCAAGTTCCATCAGCGACTCCAAGGAAGAACCCTATATATAGAATCCCTACAGAGTCAAGCTTTTGCTAAACTATTTCCAGAAGAGGGAATATAATTAGCTTTTTCCATTTATGGTAGATCACAGTTTTAGAAAGTGCTTTTTTACATTATTTAATCGAACTCTGCCTCCTTGATTCTATCTGCCCTTTGGCGTTTTGTAGATTTCCACTTCTATAGTATAAGTCTCCAAATCTGCTCAAGAGACCCAAAAGCAAAACTACTTTAAAAGTGGTGAAGACGGGTTATCGTGCATATAAGTCAGCGGCAATGCCTGCTTTTCTGTCCCAAGGAGACACACGGGCCTTGCTGTGGCACTAGGGTGTCCGCAGGGTGTCAGGGATGGAGACGGACAGGAAGACCGGCAGTGGGGCGGCCTTGAGCTCTAGCTCCACCTGGGAGGCGGGAGAAGCGAGCTTGGGTGCCTCCTGCATTCTGCATCCTGGTATCCGGGGGCGGGATGCATTTCTGGGCGTGGCCTCCGACACTGGGACGTTCTCCACACAGTTCCTCTGCGGGCTTTTGGTCTGCCTGCCCCCTGTGGGTGCAGCTGGTCATCGTCATCTCAATTCTGCGTCCGAGGGGCCAGCGCTGCCTCCCCTCCTTCCCAGCTGACGCTTCTCGCAGCTCCTCTGTCACTGGGCACAGCCTTTCCTGCCCCCCCCCACGTCACCCACATTTGCCCTGTGCTGTTCTCCACCCCCACCCCCTCTCCAGTCCCACGGACAGTTGGCCGTCGCCTCCGGCAGGCCACACTTCCTGCTGTCCTTCCTCACCACCGCTTCCACCCCAGTCGAGTCTCCGAGGCCTGCCACAGCCCCAGGGCGGCCATCACTACCCACAGCGCGCCGGGGTCCTCACCCCTCACCGCCTGGGGGCAGACCCCTCCGCACCCCGCGCCTGGTCCTCGCCCCCAACCCTCCAACCCCTCACGCCCAACCCTTCCGGCTGTATGTGAGCTACTGCACCTCCCCAGCCACCCTCCACCCCCAACTGCAGGTCCACTCTCGCCAGCACCCCCTCGCCGCAGCCCACCTGCGCGGCCTGGTCACATGGCGTCAGAGCGGGCTGCCCTCTCCTTCAGTCCCGTGTCCCCACACATTCTCGTCCCCATCCGTCCAGGCTTTCCTCGTCTCCTTTCCTCTCTCTGCTCCGTCCTTTTTACTGTGAGTTATAAACAGCCGTCAGTAAAAGTATATGAGCAGTTTAACAGACGACTATCAGAACACCCAGATCACTACGACTCAGATGCCAAAGAGAAAGTTACCCAATTAGTGGGAACCCCCCACCCCCACACACGTCCCCATGGACCCTTCCCAGTCAGGTTCACAGGATGAATTTAACAGGACTTACAACTTCACACTTAGAGTCACTGAACACCATCTTGCTTTCTCCTGTGGCTCAGGTGTACGGATTTTATTCTTCCTGCCCAGCCGTGGGCCCTCCGGGGCGGGCACCCTCCAGAGGGCTCTCCAGACTCCCCAGAGTGTCGGTAGCACTAGCAGCCCTGCTGTTCAAGAGAGGCTCCCTCACTGAGTGTGGACAAGAAAAAGCCTCATTTCTGTGTCCAGGAGCTCACACTGTTGCACTTCTCACACTCACGGGGACCTCGCCCCATTCCACTGGGCCGCTTCCAGTGGCCCAGTTTCACCCCGGGGTTCCTCTCCCCCATCCTGTGCTCCCTGGTTTCAGCTGTCTTTTCCTTCTGGCGGCACTGAGCCTGCTTGGGAATTTCTCGGGGAGTTTCCAGTTTTGCGAAGCACAATGAAGAGGAATGTCTCGTGGGTGCCTGGGAGTCCATGGCAACGCAACAAAACACCGGGCCCTCTCTCCCGCGTCGGTCCAGGCGCTGCTGCGATCACAGAACAGCCCTCCTCCCCCGCCACCGGGTCCTCTCGTGAGAAGCCCTGCGCCTGGCCGCCCTGCGTCTCCGGGACGAAACAGCTCAGCCAGTGCGAGTGCCGTGCCACCTCCTAAAGATGTGCTCGCACGAGACTCCCGGCGAAGACTCTGTGACAGGAATACACAGGAAAAGATACACTGTGCAATGAGGAAACGCACATTAACGACAACAGCAGAGAAGTCTCTGGAGCGACCCTCTGGGGGTGAAACAGACCTGACTCTGAGGCCATGAGGCGCTGCAACTTACGAAGTGCGTGCAGCCTGCGGTGAGGGTCACGGAGAAGCAGCACACGGTAGTTCTAATCTTCGGGCAGACCTGTGAACCCCTGCGCTGTTGGGTCGGACGAGTCTTCTCGCAGAGGGGAGCCTGAGATCTAGCGACAGGAGGGAGGAAATGCACGCTCTGGTCCCGTCCTGGACCATCTACAGCTGGGGCAACATTGTCGTGGAGAATGGTTTCCGTGGGACGAGCAGGAAGAGAGCACACACTTCTTGAAACGCTGGGTTGTTTTTTTGTAACAACTTAGTCCAGGCATAGGCCAGTGAAGCAACTCTGTCGGGCAGGATAGGAAGCCACAAACCCGCCCCTGCCCGTCAGCACTCGGGCAGCTGAGCGACTGGCCTCACGGCTAGACTTCAGCCTTGAAGACAAGGGACGTGTGGTCCAGAAGATGGTCATCCCGATTCAAGGGACAGGGGCTTCAAACACATAAATGGGGTTCTCTCTCTATAGATATAGGTATAGATCTAGGTATAGGTATAGATATAAATACAGATATAGATATATGGGTATAGATAGATGTATAGATAGATACAGGTATAGATAGATGTATATACACACACCCTATCATCCAATGAGGGCGACTCAGCGAGTGGACGGGAGACCCCGAAGTCCTCGGGTCTGCCCCTGTCTGAGGACGTGTCCTCCTCTGGTCAAGCACATGTCCCCGCCGAGCAGACCCTGTGTCTGATGAATTTGTTCTGCAGAGAAAGCAGAAGAGTTCAAGTGCCCTACCAACGACCTCACCTCGGCTTCCAAGCTCCTTCTGCACCAAGCTGAGCTCTCAGCTCGCCGTCCTGGGAGAAGAGCACCGGGACGCCGCCTGCTGTGGGCGGTCTGCACCGACCCCGGGCCCCTCCTCGGTGGCCAGCGACCGTGTGTGGTTGAGCTGCTTTCCGCCCCCCCCGGCCCTCTCTGGCCCCATGGCAAAAGGGGGCTGATTTTCTTGCATGCACAGCCTTGAATTGTTCACAGTATCGTTTCTGTTGGTTTTTAATGTATTTATTAGGAAGAGCTAAACGTCTTCTAAAACCCCAGAAATGTTCACTGTGTTCTCTCTCTCTCTCTCTCTCTGTTTGAAGATTACTTCCTAAAGTGCTTCCCAAGGGAGCACAGTCCCAGTTTCCGCCTGGGCAACCCACATGCACCCCAGGCGCACACTCAGTCGAGAGCAGTGTACCAGTTCCAGCACTCTGACCCATCTCGTTAGCAAATGCTCGTTTACCGGCCCCCTTCCGGCGGCGCAGACGCGTTCACGCACACACCAGGGGCCAGGCGGAGGCCCCGCCCCCGTTGAGCTTGCAGCCGAGTGAGGAAGGGAGAAGCACAGAACACAGCCTCTGTCGGGAGGACAGTGGCAGCCAGCGCAGGGGCAGCCCGAGGGCACCCCCCACTGAGTGCGTCGGATCCGAGAAACAGCACAGGGCCCGGCGGAAGTAACGCCACTGAGTGTGGCTGGTGGGTCGGGTACCGGAATGTCTCCCACGAGGTGGACAGCAGTTTGAACATTTCACCTAAAAAGTCCTATGGCGTGCTTGCGGGTGCTATTGTTGTGTCACAGAATTACATGCTTATGGTTTGGTAGTGAAAGATGTTTATGTACTTGGAAAAGGGGCGTTATTGGTGCTGGACCCATGTAAATATCGGTGGAAGCCCAAACAAAGGTGCTGCTTCTCTGCTGGCTCCCCGCCCCGTACCAAGCAGTGAGCAGGTGTCTGTAGGGGACCTAGATGTCCCTCACCTGAGGCCTCGGAGAAGCCCCAGGCAAGGCCGGAAGCGAGAAGCATGGGGGAGAAACTCCCGTGGGCTCCCGCGTGTCACCGGTGGTGGGGGCGTCGGACGGGCTGCTGCAGCTGTGGCTGGAGTCAGAGGCGAGGCTGGAGGGACTCGGGTGGTGCTCACGGGCTCCGCCCAGCACCCTGCAGTGGAAATGGGCGTCCCGTGCGAGGGACAGGCCAGTTCCGCTGGGGAGGGGACATCGAGGGACGGATTCCTAGTTCTCTGTCCCTGCAGAGCAGTGCCCTCAAAGATGTGGGATCACTCTGTGACAGTGATGGCAGCTTTCCCTTTCTGCCCCGGAAACTCTTCCTTCCCCTGGTCTCGGGCTATTTCAGGTCTCCACAGATCTCCGGATTCGGTAAGGAGGCCCCTGCTTCCGCTGACGTTCCACGTGCCACGTTCCACGTGAAGCTGGAGTGAATATGAGCGTCCTGAGTGTGGTGGGGCGAGGCACCAGGTCTGCAAGGTCAGCAGCCCGGGACCTTTCGGAGTTCCTAAAAATAGGATGTGTTTTTTGGGTTTTGGACAGGTTCCAGCACTTCTGTCACAAAGGCACATTTTAAATCACATCTGTTATATAACTTATAACTCTCACCTCCCTTTTTCTTCCAGAACTTACGTTGAGCAGGAGGAGGGGCTTTTCACTGCTGTAACAAAATGGGGACAGAAAGTAGCCTGGGCGTAGGACGTCGTCTTAGTGTGTGCACCGTGCTTGCAGAATTCTTCCTTATGACCTGCCTGAATGCAGATATTTACAGCATACATTGGTGCCCGCTGTAAACAGTTCTTTTTATATGATTAAATAGGAACTACAAAAGGAGGCCTTTCATTAACCAGCTCCGGGTCTTCGGGCCCATGATGTAAACCTCTGGGCTTCCGCTTCTTCTCTGCCGTGCAGGAAGGTGCTTGGATTGAATAAAGCTTCCTCTAGTTCAAAGTTCTATCATGATGCCTTCATTTCGCAATAAAATTTCCAGCCAACAAAGAAGCCCAGAAAAACATCAGGAAAAAAAAATAACATTATATCAATTATTGTTACTGAGTTTTAAATTCCTAATATTTGGTGGCGGTTTTGTGACTGGAATTGTTTATTCTCTTCACAGAGGAAAGAGTAACACCCAAATGCTTGTTTTACTGGGATGTGTTATCTTTAGATTTGTATCACCGAAATGCAGCGGGGGGCGGGGGGGGGATCCCTTTCTATTGTCTAAGGGAAATAAAACAATTCCCTTTGAACAGCAACAAATCAGCGAAGTGAAAGCTCCAGGCGCCGCACCTCTGGGGGAGCAGTGCCGCACCCTGTGGCGGGGGGGGATCAAAGTCCTCCAACAACCTTTGTACCACTAGAAACTCCCGCTCCTCCTGGGAAGTTCCCTGGATTCCGTGAAACTCGAAAAATCTCAGGATTCGGATCGGACGCAAACTGAAAGAAAAATCCTCTCACAATTGTGTTCACACTCTTTTAAAAGAATGAAGTTTCCCATCTCAGTGGGCAAGTCGGGTCGGAAGAGAGCCATTCCGAGACCATCTTCCCTGCCCTGGTTCCTCGAGAAATGGGAAACGAATCCAACCCAGGGGGCCCGGAAGGGCTGGATTCTCTGCGTAGAAATGAGAGCTAATTACTCTCTCTGACCATAGGAAACAGAAGAATGAAAAATGAAGAAGAGGAAAAGAAGCTTCTAAATCTCATAAACAAGAAACGGTTTACCAGACAAGCTGCCTGTGGCTGCCTTCACCGCCAGCAGCCCCAGCCTCTCGAGCCCTGAGCCCAGGGTCCCGGGGAGGGGGGGTGGATTTCGTTCCGGTCCTTTTCCCGGCACGAGTGGAAAGCTCAGCCAGGGAGTGGCTGTGAGCGTCCCCTTGAGCAGTCCCGGGTGTCTGAATAGCCCTGGGCAAATCTATTTCCACGAAGGTGCTGAGCGTCCTCCTGAAAAACAGCTCAGGGAAGGCAGGGGAGAGCGTGCCCAGGTAAACAGGGTTTAAAGGCAATGGGCACTAACGAATGAGTAGAAATTGAGGACAATCGTTTCTAAACGTAAGGAAAAATTACGTCGTGAAAAGCGATAGGAAACGGGTCCCCATGGAGGTATTGATTTAGGCATAAATATAACCAGGGCGGGGGGAGAAAGCTGGAGACAGCAAGTGCCGCCTCGTGCACCAGGCCACTTCTGCACAGGGAGAGCCTGAGCCTGTCTCTCGTGGGTTCAAGTTCGTCTGCAAACAGATTTCTGCATGTGGGCTCAAAACTGTCCCGATTTCCAACCCCCTTCCCCCTCTCCACTGGGTTCCCCTCTTCCTCCAGCGATGCTCCCCTTAGGTCATGTCCATGGGTTGCGCGTGTAAGTTCTTTGGCTTCCCCATTTCCCGTACTATTCTTACCCTCCCCCTGTCTATTTTGTACCTACCTATTATACTTCTTCTTTTTTAAGATTTTATTTATTTAGAGAGGGAAGGGAAGGAGAAAGAGAGAGAGAAACATCAATATGCGGTTGCTGGGGGCAGTGGCCT